ATTTTTTAAATCCCACTCATTTCTGTTTAAAATCTTAAAAATCTTGCAGAAAATTCTGGAAACACATTTTTATAGGACATGTTTTTAAAAGAAACAGATTATGTAAGCAATTTCCTATTTACTGCCAATTTTATTTATGAAACCGGTTCTACCCTATAACCTTAGAATGGGTCAACCTACACCACGTGTCTTAAATTTGTTAAAATCACAATAACATTAGAAGGGGTGAATAATACCCTAAGCGAGCGACAAAAGAGCGGCGGCGTAAATCGAAGGTTTTTACAATGCTTGGATCCGTAGCTCTCTGCTTTGTCTGGCCGAATTTTCTCAAGCAGAGAGCTACAGTTCTGCAGCTAGGAAGAATAGTACGCGTGTATATCATAAAATGTGGCAAACAACATGAACAAATAGAAATATGTTTCCTTGGCCCTCAATTAATTTGAAATAAAATCATTTAAAACAGTTATGTATTCATATTTACATTTCCAATGTCTTTGTCCGAGATAAAATTACAAATTGTAAAAATACTTTATTTCTACATAAATCTACTGGTTCATCGATAGGCGGGGTTAAAAAAAATCACGTGCGGGGCGGGACAAATAGAGACAGAAGCGGGGCTATTACACGGGAATTTGCAGTATCAGGAGCATGTAAATATAAGGAATAACTGTCAGATTTTTTGGATTCATGACGATGATCAATCGATTGGCTTGCGTGATAATTTTATGCATAATGCAAATTATCACGCAAGCCACTCGATTGATCACATCATGAATCCAAAAAATTAGACAGTTATTCCTTAAATATATCCTAATTTAGAATTTGTAAGAACGCAACTCCAATTAGGTATACCGATCCCGATTTATTTTCATAAAACTTAACGGTCGGGAATGCATTTATTCTTAGTTGTTTGGAATACGTATAGCATTCGGTTGGAAAAGGAATTGTCATGAGATCATAAACATGTAATATATGTTCTAAGCCCTACCACTCAAAAGACATAAGAAAAATTAACAGCTAACAGTATTCTTAAGTTGATCAAAGGTTTAAGTCAAAATGAATTGTTTTAACGTTTGTATTTTTAAAAAAAAAAGTCTTCTGACAAGCAATGTACATGTTAATTAACACAAAACTTCTCAAAGTCTAGGAATACCGGTATGCTGTTTAGGCCATCTTCAAAAAATTGTTTGGTTGCCCTCTCCCGACCGACTGACTAAAAACGGCCCGACTCAAAACTTTGTTTGACTTTAAGGAAACAATTATTTTTTTTTTATTTACATTAATAATTATTTCAACTTCACATTTGCAAGTGTTTTTGAATTCAAAAAAAATTGTCCCTAACTACCTACCCAATTTTTTTTATTCTCAGTCGGGAGAGGGCAAGCAAACATATTTTTAAAGATGGTCTTATCGACACTTTACAGTAGTCTTTACAGACCAAACTTGCTTGTTTTGAATTTTTTGTCGGATGGCAGAAAATTCAATACAAGCGAGTTTATTGGTCTGTAAAGACCACTGTAAAGGGTTAGTAGGTGGATAAAATATACAGGTTGGTTAAAAAAAATATGCCTATAATTAGGGAGTGAAAGATAATTGATTGACCAATGCTGGAAAGTGGAGAAATTCTACCCAACAGTGCGCAGAAAATCTTGCGCCGTAAATTGCACCATATTTGCATTACGGGATCTGTAGCGTTATGGTCAAAGACTAAAATATGTAACCGTAACGCTAAAGTTCTGCAGCTAAGGTTCCACATGCATACTATTTTGTGAGTACCGGTATGGGAATCGAGTAGTTTTCAAAGAGAAAAAAATACATTTGAAACTAAAAACAAGAAACACTGCTTTCGCAAGCAGAAGCATTTGTATGTCCCCTCGACTCTAGCGATGTAATATTGGATTTGAAAGCAGAAAGCAAACACTCTCTTTAAAGTTTTGCAAAAAAATCAAATTTTTAGAGATAAATGACCCAGTTTTAGTCACATGGCAACGGTAGCTATTTTGGATTTTTAAAAAACCAGAAAATTTGAAAGACAGCTACACATCAATATTATGTACACGTAGTTTGAAATACAGAAAAAAAATCCATCTTAAATAAAATTCCTTTTTGTTTCCAAGGATACAGTTAATTATTCATACATGCGATTACATTGTAATCCCCCTCCCCGAAACCAGTTTTACCAAATGAAAAGAAAAAGATTTTCACGCTTCAAGAATTGGTTGGATAGTCACGGGAAAAATATTTTCAATGGAATTACAGTCATTCTACAAAAACATGACCAATTAAGATTTTTTTATGTCGCTTGCAAATTTACCGTTGTAATATCTTAATTATAAATTTAAAGGTCGATTTCAATTCTAAGACTTAAAATACACACATGGTTTTGTAAATATTCACCGATATATATGCAGTTAAAGTTTTAATATGAACATAATGTAATGTTGAAAAACGTATTCCACTGCAAATCTTAATGTCGCTTCATTTATACACAAATTTCAAGATGAAATTTTCAGCCGTAAAATCGTTCCGAATAGAGTGCAATGAATGTCAAAAAATGTCTTTTATCCTATATAAAAAGAAATCAAACCACTTCTCGCAAAGAAATGCATAGATCTCCTTTCATGCGAATTTATAAGCATGTCGCTTAAAATCGATTAACTTCCGTAACGATTTTGTTTTAAATTTCAGGCATAGAATGCAGATTTCAAAAAGAACTGAAACTTATCTGAAAGTGACCACGGAACCTTATATCATCGATTCTAGTTGCAAGTCAGCTTTTTTACACGATTACATTTTCGACATAACAAAATGAATTAGACAAAAACAGTTGTCTCTCTTAAAAATTTAACTTCCGTAACGGTAATTCAGGAAAGTTTTTGCATTTAAGGTATAAAATTTTTGATTATTTTGGGAGCAAAATGCTTCATACTTTCGTTTAATGTCCTAAAACAAACTTTGATTTTAACTATTGAAGAGAATTTTAACTTTTATTACTGGGAATTAACTTCCGTAACGATTAACTTCCGTAACGATATTTTTCCCGAAAATTTAATTTAAATTCGGATTCATGCGAGACTTCATGAATCATACTTGAGCGTTCTTTACTGAACATCAGAAACGAAAAGTTGGTCAAATTCAGCTTTATTTAAAAATTAATAAGGCTTAATCAAGCATTAACTTCCGTAACATTACCTTAAAATCAATGGTATCTTGAAATTGTTGTAAGAAGTTAACGATACCAGATTTGTGGACAATTCTTTGTTTTCAAGTTCATTGATAGGTCCTTTAGAGAATCATGATGTTGATTTTGCTATTTGAAACAATTATTTTTTTCATGTTTTTTACTCTGAATTGGTCTATTTATTGTAGAATGACTGATTGGTCGCCATTTTGAAGAAGGGACACATTTAATAATGTGCCCACCCTCCAACATAAGTACAGCCATGATATTTTATTGGAGGGAGAATTGGCTGGGGGAAATCCCAATCTATATCTATTACACAGAGTAGGATTTTCCCCCCGAAAAATTGACTCTGGTTTGGGATTTTCGTAGGGGAAATCCTACTCTAGAGTCATTTTCCGTGGGGGAAATCCTACTCTAGAGCATATTTTTCGGGGGGAAATCCTACTCTAGAGTCAGTTTTCCGGGGGAAAAGATTTTAGAGGGGAAAGCCTGCTCTACAAGACCGATAAATGGAATCCGGATGTTTCATATAAAAAAATATGTTTGTTTATGTGGGAGATTTTCGTTTAATTCGAATATATTGTTTTTGGTCTTGGAATTTCTCTCTGGTCCCTGGATAAATTGATCGGCAACTCCGGGATCGTTGTGCGCTTTTTGCCTGTGAGAGGTTTTTAGACACAGGGGAACAATTCTTACAATCCCCTGGTCTTGACCAGATTGACCCAAGTTAGTTGGGTTATTAATGGTCCTTTATTTCTCAAAATGACACTCCAGTTTGAATCTACTCTTCCTAGGATATGTTCCCTTCCTGTCCATAGCGCATCACAGGTTATGGGGAGTGGCCCTAGCTATTACCCAACCTGTATAAATGCAACCAGAAAGAGACAAAATCCAGCAGACCACCGGCTGGATATGTCTCACTAGGCTACATTTATACCCCCGTACATGCCCCCTGCATATTTGAGTATTTCTTCAAAATTTGCACTAATGACTTTTAATTTTGCTCTGAATTTAAGTTAATATTATCCGACCTTAAATCCTCTTTTTATCTTAAATTGCTCTTTAAAATTCTTGTTGAACTTTTTGCATAATCTTGACTTTTTATTTCCTGTAGGTAATTTATGCAGATGCATGACCTCTGCTCCCTTGCATCAACCTCTTTGATTGGTTACACCCTTATTCTTGACCAAACCAGCATCTTATAAACAAGTTCTTAATCTACAAACAAATAGCAAACTTCATGGAGCTAATTATCAGCGGTGAAAAGTTCATCCTGCACTCCTGCCCAGCATCTGTTTTCTTCTATTTTTATCCTGCGCGATCGGCTAAATCTTAATACCTTTGCTACTTTACCCCCGAGATTCATAAATTCCACAATTTTCTATTTTTATGCACTTTTTGTTATGATAGATGCATAAAAAAATCACGAAAAGGGAATATTTTAGGAAAAAGTAGTCAAAATGCAACTCTTTGAAGTACACAAACTAGAGAATATTTTGCTGTAACTATACTTCTTCAAGTTAACCCTAAGGAATGCATGGTAGAATTAAATTTCTTCTTTGCCATTGTTGAAAATTTTTATCTTCTAGTAACCATCGCATAAAAGATATTTTGTTGTATTATACTAAATAAAATAAAACATCTTTTGCGTCATCTGTTGATAATGCTGTTTTTTTAATGGTCTACTGTCTATGAAATTTTTTAAAACAGATGACGCAAAATAGACACTACAGACCTCTATTCATACGATAAAGTCATTGTGTGTTTACATAATAAACTGTTAAAAAACAAAATAATAAAAATTGAATAAATTTACCTGTTATATTGTTGATAACATCTTGGGTTGATAAAGAACTTATTTTGGATAATTCCTCAATTTTTTTCTCCATATCATCTATACTTCTATCTCTTGCAATTACAATTTTCTCAGTTTTGTCTTTTTCATTCAACAAATCAGTGACTTCATTGGTCAAGTTTACATTCAAGTTTTTCAGGGAAATTGTTTCGTTCCTTAATTCTTCAATTTCGAACGTCAGATCTTTGAATTCTCTCTCCCTTGCCTGGTTCTCTTTTTCGAGTTTTCTATGATCCTTCTGGAGAGTCTGTAGATCTTTCATCATTGACATCCGTATTAACGTCGCTTGATTTAGTAATTGTCGTAAAATGTCGGAATTTCTCGGTGGAAGGTGTACATTATCAGTGGTCAGAGATTGGTTTAGTATCACAGCAGCGGTGCACGACTGGATAAATATATTCAGAACGACCACAAGTACTGCCATTGTATAGCTACTATTAATGTACTGATCAAGTAATCCCATATAATTCGTTATATTTTGTGTTTACTAATAAATTGTGCAATGCGTATAATGATAAATATTCATCCTATTTATATGATGCACCAACGTGGGTTTCTCACAAGGAATGCAGTGCTTGTCGTTTATCTGCGTCAATTACTGCATAATTAGCGCAGCAGGTGTACTATAGTCTGTCCCAAGGTATATCGACGTCATTGCTAAGTGCATTACCTCTCAAAACGTATTTAAAAAACAAGATGTGTTTGTGAAACACTGATGCCCCCGTATGGCAACTTATAGCAAAAGTTAAACTTTCTCAAATGCAAATCAAATGTGTTGGTACCCTAAGTAAGGTTTTGTCTCTAGGAATATACCTGTGAAATATGAAAGCCCTAGCAACAAACATTGAATAGATATGGAAAAGGTTAAAGTTTTTTCAAAAGTATGTCAAACATCAAGGTCAAGGTCAAATGGTCAAAATTAATGGTGCCCAAGGAAAGGCCTTCTCCCAAGAAATACACAGGTGAAAAATAAAAGCCGAAGCACCAATCGTTCAAAAGTTATGACCAAGGTTAAAATTTTCCAAAAGTAGGTCAAACTCCAAGGTCAAAGGGTCAAAGTTGTTGGTTTCCAAAGGAAAGCTTTGTCATAAGAATTACATATGTAAAGTATGAAAGCCCTAGCACCAACCATTCAAAAGTTATGGCCAAGGTTAAAGTTTTCCAAAAGTAGGTCAAACTCCAAGGTCAAGGTCAAAAGGGTCAAAGTTGTTAGTATCCAAAGGAAGGCCTTGTCATAAGAATTACATATGTGAAGTATGAAAGCCCTAGCACCAACCGTTCAAAAGTTATGGCTAAGGTTAAAGTTTTCCAAAAGTAGGTCAAACTCCAAGGTCAAGGTCAAATGGTCAAAGTTGTTGGTATCCAAAGGAAGGTCTTGTCACAAGGATTACACATGTGAAGTATGAAAACCCTAGCACTAATTGTTCAAAAGGTATGACCAAGGTTAAAATTTTTCAAAATTAAAGTAGGTCAAACTCCAAGGTCAAGGTCAAAAGGTCAAAGTTGTTGGTATTAAAGAAAGGTATTGTCACAATGAGTACACATATGAAGTATGAAAGACCTAGCACAAATTGTTCAAAAGTTATGGCCAAGATTAGAGTTTTTTCAACAGTAGGTCAAACTCCAAGGTCAAGGTCAAAGAGTCAAAGATGTTGGTACCCAAAGGAAGGACTTGTCACAAGAAATACACGTGTGAAGTTTGAAAGCCTAAGCTTCAACTGTTCAAAAGTTATGGCCAAGGTTAAAGTCTCATTAAATTTTGCAAAAGTGGGTCAAACTCTAAGGTCAAGGTCAAAAGGTCAAATATGATGGTACCCAAAGAAAGGTCTTGTCACAAGGAATACACATATGAAATATGAAAGCCATAGCTCCAACCAATCAAAGATTATGGGCAAGGTTAAAGTTTTTGCAAACAGACAGACATACGGACGGACAGGGCAAAAACTATATGCCCCCGAATCTTCGATTACGGGGGCATAACAACTGGAAATTTGCTTTCTATCAATTCATTTTAACCTATGATAAAAAAAATAATGTGAATGAAATATGAAGATAGCGAACAGTAATCAAACTCAAACTATTTATAACAATACAAATCGGGAGCAGAGCAAACAACGATCTCTGAAAAACATCAGAGGTGGGATCAGGTGCCATGGAAGAGTGAGCAGCTGTATTTTCTTTTTATTCACAGCTTGGAAGAGGTGCATCATTTAAATTAAGATGTTTGATATACAAATCATGATGCAAAAGATTTGAATGTTTTCATTATATTAGTTCTTAAATTTTAATGTCAAAATATGCAGACGAGAAATACCAACAGAAGCATCCTGATTCAGATGCTTAAGGCAATTCATTTTCATAAAAATAGCCCTGTACTTTCCTATGTATCATGTCCTACATTTACCCTGGTGACAGTTAATTTGAGATCAAATATCTGTAACAAGAGTTCGTTATATTGTATATTTACATCAACCCATTAAATTCAAAATTATTATGATATTGTAATTTAAAATTAATGATAGGGAAATCTTGTGTTATATTTTCTGGAGATTTCCTTCTAGTAAAAGAATCAGAAAATGCAAGAAATGCAATTGGTTCTAAAGCAAAACTCCAGGGAGCAAAAGAGAAAGAGGGACAGGTATACAGACTCAACTTAGGGGACTATAAAACTATATAGATATCTATAGGTCTGTTTGTATTTTTTTTTTGGCTGTACCAAACATTTTTGCACTTGCAATAAACAATAAGCAATTTTTTGTGAATGAAAGTCTATTTTTTTCTTTCATTTTTTCGTATCATCTTTATAAATTTCGTTCCTGTCGCACTTGCATGTGCATTGCAAGTAATTCTCCATGGATCAAAAAGTATAAGGGCGGGAAACCAACAAGAACTTAACATTAAAGAGTTTTGGACAATATACTGTCAAACCATCTTTAGTCATCATTATTGTACTATTTCTTATGTTTTTGATTGTCAAGTCATTGAACACAACTATGTATATAACTGTTATTGTATGATTTGAGTTATATTGTTGTTTAGCTACATTGTTCTTTCTGTCATTTATGTCCTCAATAAATGACGATTCTAATTCCTACTGAATGTGTTATGTTAAGATAATATAAAGTCACATAACGTGCCAAACAGAGCATCACCCTATCAGTTATCCATAAAGATTTTTGAGCATTTGAAAGTATTTCATTTATCTTTATGTACACAACTTAATTTTTCAAGTTTTTTATAGAACTAAACTATGAGTACGTAAACGCCAATGATAAAATCCTGAAATAATTGGTCAAGCGACAATAACTATGACCTTCATACAAGAAAATTACCAGAAAAATTGATCTTTTTTTTAAAATCTTGTCAGTTTATTTACTTTTGTTTAAAAAAATTATTTACATATTACAAGAACAATATACTCAAAATAAATGACATAATTTAGTAAGGCTGATCACCTGACATTAGAGGAAAGATTTCTGAAGGGATGTTAACGTCAAATTGCTAAATTTAACTTTAAATGGTACATTTATATAAATACAAAATACTGACTTAAAATAGTGTTTAAGAATTAGGTACCAATAAAAATGTATGAATACATGGCTGCAAAAATCAAGAAGAAAATTCAATGTACAGATGAAATATTTGTAATTCATTTCTATTTTATTTGTAAAAATCAAACATTTCACTTATCAATGAGCATTGCAGCTGTACTCCCTATCACCCCCTTTCATTAAAACTTCTCTGGTGAATAAATGAAAACAGAATAATGGACTTTTTAATCTATTGGTTTGAATTTCCAAGTATATATGATTTTGATGGATTATGACTACTTTTTCACTTTGAATAAAATTGTCTTTGTACATGAACTGCTGTAGAACACGTTACTGTCTTGACATTGTCCTGAAGTGTTAATAAATTTTGCTGCAGCTCTTGATACATTTCTCCTCCATAAGGTATATATTGTATAAGTATCTATTTAATCACTTTGCCTATTTAAATGAGAACAACATATTCTTTACATAATAATATACATGTAATCCCTGTACAAGCTGACCATTTATACAGGGTGCTTACAAAACTCGTTCATATCAATCGTATATTATTTTATTTTCCTACAAAAAATTTACATTGATAATTCCGAAGTCCAAATGCATATACATGTAATCAGAAAATCTATTGTTTTTACAGAGTACAGCAGCAGAAATTCGGACCACAGAACTGTTTCGAGCAGCCATTGGAGTCGTAGCGATACATTATCCTATTAACCTTCAAGGGAACACCAGGCACAAGGTTCTGATCCGATCCGTAGAAATGAAAAGACTGGACACATGTTGCTCTGTTAAAAAGGGGGAAATGCTTTTATATTGATATGCATCATTTCAATCGACTTAACGGTCATATATATACATGTAGGTTAGTGAATAAATTCCATAATTAAAGATATCCGCGAAATATACAAATAATGGTATTAAGTTTTTTATTCTTGTATGCTAATTTTACGATAAGTCTCATAAATATTGTGCAATATAAACATCACACTCTCCATACAGTTGTTTTACACGAGATTACATGGAGATATCTAAACATGTTCATTGTAAAATTAAGGGGGGGGGGATATCATTAAAGAGGGCATCATATGATGAAATTAAAATCACGTTCATTTAGAATAAAAATATTTTTCATATTCTTCGTGGAAATGGAATTCAAAAAGAAAGAAAAAAAACCCTTCTAAATTACACCTTATGCTTTAGAATGACTTAACTGTTTTCTGCCCTGGTTTCCCATCTTTGCTTTCATCTGTGAGGTAGCATCTCTACAGACCACGTCACAGGAAGAAGCTTCATTCGAACACGTTCTTCTGATGGCTGAAACAAATCCTCCTAGATAACTTGCTGCACAGGCGGCCTGAACCACAATATCCGGATAGGCAGAAATCTCATTCTGCACCCCTGACATTACCGAAAGAATTAAAAATTCAAATAAATTCTGCGTTTGAAAGAGGTTAAAAAGCCAAATGCAAAAAATTCGTTTTTAAATATTTAAAATATCTCTGAAGTTTATTTCCCCATAAAATTATACTTTCCATTATAACATATTTCCAAAACCAAAACGAGATGAAGTTGTACCTGCAATTTGGGACAACAAATTCTCTACATTTATCGTGGCAACTCCCCGGGTCAGATTCGAGTTTTTCTGGGTCAAAACAGCCATCTTTTTGGTCAGTTCCTCGATCTTATCCTCTAGATTTTTTATTTTGTTGTCTCTTGCCTGGTCTAACTTCTCTTCTTCTTGTTCATCTCTCAATAACGCAATAAATTTATTGGTCAAGTTTGTGTCCATTTGCTTCAGAGACTCTGTTTCGCTGGTGAGTCCGTCGACTTCCAACTTCAAATCATTTATGTTCTTTTCTCTTGCTTGGCTCTCGCCCTCGGCTCTTCTTTGGTATTTGAGGAGAGACTGCACGTCTTTTGTAAGAGACATTCGTATCAATGTCTCTTGATTTAGTAGCTGTCGCAGTATATCAGATTTTTTTTGTGGGGAAGCTTGATACTCGGTTGTGGAAGATGCTGCCAATTGCGGTGCTCCAGCACAAGTTTTTACTAAAATAATCAGAAGAAACAGATACGGCGACATGACTTCAAAATACAAAGACTACTTTACTCAATGTTTCCAATATAGGAAAGTGAAACAAAGCACAATTTCAACCAGTTTTGTAAACGTGATGACCTTCATAACGGAAGTTTCTGCTCACAAGAAAAAGTCAAACGTCTGCTCACAAGAAAAGGTCAAAAGAACAGTATTTAGCTTACCTGACCGATTAAATTTTCTTATGTTCTTCATTGCAATATACTATACTGATATATCGTTTTACTTACTCACTTCACAAAAGAATCTTAAGAACATTTGAAGTTCCATAAATTAAATTTTTTTAAACCCATGTAATATAATATCACATTATTTGTATTATTTTTACATGTGTTTATTCATGTTCCTATTTATGTTATCAATGGTTTTTACATTTCAAGGATGTTATGAAATTAAAAGCAGAAACAACTCTTCTCTAAAAATCGTTTCCTGCAGCAAGAAGGATTCATTTCATACTCTAAAAATGAGCTTTAACGAATTAATTTTTTTTTAAAAGTGCAGTCATAAATAACCAACCAGCTGCAACTATTGGTTAAAAAAGTCCTTAGAAAGTATGGTCCTTGCTGTGAGGTTTAAATCTGCAGTTTGTATGGGAGATAATGTTTAGAAGTGGTAAATGTAACAAATAGTACCTGACAAATAATTATAACAATCGAACTTTCCCTAAAGAAAGCCGTAAAGTTTAGGATCACGTGGTAGATATACATCCAGAACAGGCGAGGGGTGTTGTCCATGAGAATCAAATCGTAAGAGAATCCGAGTGAATATAATTGAAAGTAGCTGTATAAGTGGGCATACCAATTTTGCATTTCAAAAAATTGCTGTCATAGAAAGCAAACAATGGAGATACTAGACAACTCTAAGTACTGTCCTGATTGAGTTGAATGAGCATTGTACATATCATGTAAATCGGAAACAGCTGTTCATTTAAAGCATCTGAAGTGTTTACACGAACTTTGATAATCCCCCTTAACAGAATAAATGTATTGCTAACAACATTCAAAAGGTTAAAAGAAAGGCAAATTTAAAAAAAAAAATAAAATAATATGAGGCTTAGTCGATATAACGCTTTCTCATCGAAATAGAAAACTCCGTATGGTCTAAAACTGTGTCATGATCGTTTCATCTAGATTGATGTTGGCATGCAGGAAATCTTTGTACTCAGATTTAAAACTTTGAACTCTTATAGTATGTCTACTTTGACAGACATGCTCATAGACATACAGAGGGCGATAGGGTTGCATATAAATAAAAGTATTTACTAACGTTTCATCTTTTAGTTGTTGGAAAAGTGATTTTAAGATTATTTCCAACATATATTCTTATGCAAAAGTTGGCTTTTATTGTGACCAAACCCAAGGGTCCATGCCATGAATAATCATGCATTTTCACATGATGAAAACTTGAACAAACCTGTTACTAAATACAGCCTGTTCAGTACTGCGAAGTAGTAAAATAAATCGCATGTAATATTGGATTCTATCAAAAACAGCGTGACAATAATTTATATAGTTGATGAAACAATTTGGAAGTTTAATTAAATAGTTAAAATAAGGGAAATATTAAATTGAAATTTAAAAGAAAAATAATTTTGAGCCACTTAAGATCTTCGAATATTAAACATAATTTATTGGATAATAGGAATAAGAAACTATTTCTATTTATCCAATGATTTTCTTTTTCAAAGATTTGTATCAAAATCCCTGTCTACCAACATACCACTTCTAGGGACTTGAGACGACGGTAACTTGTTCATGTGTTTATCCAAAAGTTTAAATCCTAACTTAAACATATAATTACATGTATCTACAACTATGTAATCGCTATTGCAATTCAATGCTAATTGTCCCTATTTGTTTGCCTAGGGTGATAGTCACACTTTTAACGATTCGGAAATCTTTGGGCCTGATTTCCTCGAAAGTTTCCCTTATATCTGGGAGGGTTTTTTAGTCCGTTTAAGGCCATTGAAATTGAAAGCCGAAAGTAAAGTCTGTCATGATCATTAATTAGCTGGAGGTTATAAATTGATGATGATGCTATTTCTATTGTTCTGTGCATCGAAGTAAATTGATGGGTGAGCATATTGCCCTTGAGCCTCTTAAGTACGATTTTATATACAATTTCATTACCAAACTGAAATTACAGAATTTAATAAAGTAAGTTCTGTTTTAAAGGGAGTTTTCGAAAGAATGTTTTGTGTAAATATGAATGGGCTACTGCAAAAAAAATGTAAGAAAAGTTCAGGGAGCCAGGTTTTTTGAAGAAAATACGATATTAATATTTTTTTTACCCCATTTGGCACACAGGATGAAAATGGAAATTCTGATACCTTAATGTACATGTTACAGGCACCAACAATCATATTCCAAAAGATAATTTAGCTACTGCTAAAAATCTAAGAAGAGTTCAGGAAACCAGGTTTTTTGGAAAAAAAAAAAAAAAAAAAACCAGGGTGAAAATGAAAATTCCAAAACCTCAATGCACATCCACTTGACACTCTTATGAATGGTTTACTGCAAAAAATGTAAGAGGAGTTCTGGGAATCAGCTTTTTTTTTTTTTTTTTTTAAAGAAAAACGATGTTTTTGACCCAAAATCGTCCCCCAGAGTGAAAATTCTGAAACCCTATTGCACATCTACAGGACACTACCAACATATACCAAAAGATGATTTGTCTACTTCAAAAAATTTAAGAGGAGTTCAGGAAACCAGACTTATGTAGAAAATCAATGTTTTTGAACCCCAGTCCCGGCTCCAAGGTTGAAAATGGAAATTTTGAAACCTTATTGCAAATTTACTGGACACCACCAATCATATTTCAAAAGATGATTTGGCTACTGTAAAATGCAAGAGGAGTTCAAGGAACCAGGTTTTTGTAGAAAAATGATATTTTTGACCCACATTTAATTGGTCCTCAGGGCGAAATTGAAAAATTTCAAAACCTTACAGCACATCTACAAGACACCACCAATCATATTGCAAAAGATGATTTGGCTATTGCAAAAAATGTATGAGGAGTTCAAAGAACCAAGTTTTTGTAGGGTAAAAAATTGTTTTTTGACCCTCAACCCACCCTCACCCCCCTCCCGGGTGAAAATCGAAATTCCAAAACCTTACTGCACTACTTTACTAAGAATGATAAACATTGCATAAATCGAAATAACGTTCACATACATTTTAAGAGAGGTTAATAAATGTAATAAAATTTAAATGTATTAAAAATAAAATTTAGTATTAACATATTATATGAAAAAGAATCCCAATCTATCGACCCTGAATTTTTAACCTGTTCCGGGAACAAGCATTTATAATAATATTGGCTTTATTTCAAGAAGAGGAGGAGAGAATTCACAACTTTTCTTCAATTAATCAACAATGCAACTTAAATTTGCGCAAAAAATCCTCAAAATCTAAACAATGGGAAACTGAATACACATAAAGAAAATAGCTTTTTGCCCATAAAAAATTTATTATAGGGTAACAATTTTGTAACTATGAAATTCGGGTTTTTAAGGAAAAAATGAATTGTAGTGCAGACATCCTTGAAAATATCCATACGATTCTTAATTATCTTTATTCCAATGCCTGTAATCGTCCTTTAAGAGGGCTGGGTGGTTGTGGCAATTTTCAGACTATATTGATCTCCTTTAGAAGAAGAGCTCCATATAAAGATATACAAAAATGATCAAATTTTAAAACTAAAATATATTAAATTTTTGTTTGCCAAATGATAGTTGACAGCTTAAGATATCATATCTAAAAAATTAAGTTATATCTGATGGTTAATTTGTTGATCCCCCAGCCTCCTTAAAGTTCTAAGATTTTATTTCATCGAAATACTTTTGCTGAATACTGTTTAATTTTTCACAAGGCAGTAAGATATCGAATGACTAGAGTACATATAAAAATAAAGTTTTTCGCCCGTTATTTCAAATCAATTGTATTCATGCATTTGGTGCCTATATATTTCGCCCGTTAGTTCAAATCAATTGTATTCATGCATTTGATGCCTATATATGTAAATGTTTTCAGTATGATTTCTTTATTCTGTAAATTCTTGGATCCTTAGGTTAATAATTCTAAGGCTAATACGGTCTCATCTGAAGGACCTGTCTCCACGTCACACAGTGGACTAAAACTCGCGACTTATTGATCAGCTCCTTACTCCGCGACTCTAGAGCAAACGCTCTAACCACTGTACATTAGACATGCACGTGATTAAAGAGAGTTACTAGGCATTTTTCAATAAACATATTTTTGTTTGTGAAGGAAAGCTACTCTTATTTATTATCATATATGAAGTATTCTTATCAGTGTAATTTTATGTTTAACGACAAGTTTGAATCTATTAAATTTCTATACATGTACATTGATTTATCTTTAAAAATTCATGTATAAATTTCTGAACATTGCTGCTTTGTCTATTCTATATCAAATATGTAAACCATTAAATGAACATAGGTGTTTTTCTCGATGGTTTTTAATATCATTATTATATTAGCTGAAATGCCACTTTTTTTTCTGTGCACCCCATTTTCACTTCAATCAAAGACCGGGAAAGATCAGAAGGACGTTCGCGGGTAACACAACAGTTATACGTAAATCTCCACGAAGAATAAAAGAATTTTTCCCCAGGAGCCCAAGCTATCTATTTTCCGCTTGCATTTTGCTAGATTTAAGGAATAACAGTAATGCAAACGATTCAAAACAAAATTTGGAAAACTAGCAAATGTATCCATGTTATATGCATATTAACTACCTTAAGTATTACGAATAATGTAAATGAACCTTGTACCTGTGGAGAGAGCTTATACAGGCACATCCAATACATGCATTTATGTCATGGCCGTAGGATGGCTGTGTCCCCCCCCCCCCTCTCCCCCAACTGAAATTGCTTCCTACGGGCCTGTATGTGTTACTACGCAATAAAATATGTTCAAATCAAACTGTATCCAATTCCAGCGGACGGAGAAAATATTGCACCAATTCTTGCAAAGGTTAACTATAAAGTATAATAAAATAGGAGCATTCCGTAAGGAAATAGATATCATAATGAATTCGAGGATTGCCGCTCTCGTTGACAACATCTATATATCTCTATTCTTTGATTAAAGATGAACAAAACAATTTGAATGCTTTCGAAGGTTTTCATTGGTAGTTAATTTATAACACTGAGATCCTATCATTTTCAAACAAAAGTTTTACCACAGATGATAACTGGGAGTGTCTGAAAAAAAGTCCAACAAAGTATCAGTTAAGGCTTATTGGAGGGGGTTTTCAAAACAATTCCAGATTTGTCAATATAAAATACATAAACATATATAATGTAGTTGCGATATTTTTAATTTTTACACATTCTTATTGTACTCTATGTATTTATCCACCTTATATCAAAACACTTAAATGAGCGAAAGATATTTTCCGGTCTCCCTTTAAGGAAGTTGACAGTAGACTCTAATTGCCTACAGATAGAGCAACTGAATCAAACACAATCTTGGTCATGGTATGTATATTTGATATATAATTAATTACACTGAACATTATGCCAGAGATATCATTTTGTAAACTCTATAGTCTGAAATGATCTCAGATAACACTCGATTGACGGGAACGGCAGAGGATCGACATTTAGATTGTGTCATGGTGTGGTACTTTCCCATAATTTAAATAAGAGTGAAAACCTTTAAGAGAATTCCAACGTATAACTTCTAGGAGCGGAGCTTAGCCGTACAATAACTCCCAATGTAGTGTACAATGGCATACAAACTATGAAATTAAATAAGTTAGAATTCAATATTTTTTGTAAAATTTGTTCAATTTCTGTTAACATACAATCACTCCGACGGAAACATGACAAACCTCATAAAATTCACACATACCTCACGCAATATGTAAAATGCATACGTGAAAACCATTTTTAAGAGGCATACATGTATAATATTAATTATTAATTAAAACATAAACTTTAAAAGCACACAGAATTTCATTAATTGCTCGAATTAAAACAGTTAATTGAAATCTGACAATATTGAATTGAGTACTTGACTCGGATTTCCTCGGGACGTGCACTTTCTTTTTAAACAAGGTGGCGGATCAAAGCGCGTGTGGATTTAGGACTGCAACCTAGTTAAGGTTGTTTAATCCATCATATACAATCGCACACCATTCGTTCACATTTTCTGCTTTGTTTGAACATCCAGTGCCTTTATGACGTGACGTAATATCGCTTACGGAGTGAATATGCAAATAACCATGACACAAGTTTCGACTGCCATACTTCTTTGTACAATAAATCTCGATTTACAGAAGTGAAGAATGATTATTTATGGTTGTTTTCTGCATTTAAGTAAGTGATTAGTAATCTACTCTGAATTGATCATTTTTAGGAAAGCATTACATCTATGGATTTCTCAGAAGAAGTTCTGCAAATGTATGCTGAAATCAAGGAGAAATCAAAATATGATTACATGATCTGCAAGTTTAATAATAATAGACTGGTCATTGAACACATCGAAAAAGTAGAAAACGTTAAGACAGGTATAATATTAATTTCGCTTCAAAGGTAAAATTACATTTAAAACATGGAATGAGGCAAGGCGTAAATCAATGAAGACCTGTCTTCCTTATAATCCTGCTTGTATACTTGTAAGATTCAGATCAATATCTCAAATTCTTAAATGTATAAATTTAAGAATGATTTTTAAAAATTTGTTCTGACACTTTTAACAACATATGAAGCAACACACTTCTCATAATTCCCAGAGTATTTTCTAAAGGAGAAAAAGGACCATTTTCTGGGGAGAGAGAGAGATATGATATTGATAATAACTCTTTCTCGTACACGATTTTTACAAGTTGATGGAATTCAACTCAGTCATGCTGTTTCTCAGGTTTCTCCTGCATAATCAAATAACTCACATTATACAATGGGCATCTGAAAAGTTCTGAGAACTGTTTGATAAAATACTATCTGTTTAGCGGAAATTAATGAGTTTGATATCCTTGAAAATCGTATATGTAGTCCTAACTTTATTAATTTGACTTGCAATTTGAAAAATCTGAAATCCAACACATTTAATCGCCCCTTTCGAAAACAAATTTATATTAGGCATACGATATGGTGTCGGTCTGAAAAAAAATATAGTGCATTGAAAAATGCTAAAATAAATAAATTTGGTCACTTTTTACGTATATGAGTAATTTTGAGGTCAAAGGTCAAAAACCAAACCAAGGTCAGAAATTATTGCATACATAGTTTTCAGTTGATAACTTTTGCAATGAAACCCAAGGTCATGAATTTCTTTAACATAAAGAAGACCCCATTGACTTTAAGGACGAAAGCTGAAAGATCAAGATCTACCTTTTAGTCTTTCTCCGTCTGCAAATTTTTTTGATTCCCGCTTTCACTGAAAGTGGGTGATATTAATTTGGGTCTGTCCGTCCGTCTGTCTGTACGTTCATCTGTTATACTGTCTGTGTGTAACGTTTTCGTTTCCGGGCGATATCTCAAAAAGCCTTTGAGCTTTTGCAATAAATTCTATATCACAACCTATGGTCTAACAAAGACCCCTGCTTTTTAGGTCAAAAGGTCAAGGTCAGAAATATATATATATTTTAAACATATTTTTCAGATGATAACTTTAGTTCTCTGTAACCGTTTGCGATCTGGTCATTAATTTCTTTAACGTAAAAAGATCCTTTTAAGGCAAAAACTGAAAGGTCAAGGTTGATCTTTTTTTTCTTCCACTCTTTTTTTCACAAATACACAAATCCCTGAATTAGCTTGTTTAAAGTTAGTTCTTCAACCCTCTTTCTTTCCTTTAGCGGGGGGGGGGGGGGGGGGGAGGGGAAATCGCTGAATTACTCGTTTTATTTTGTCATTATGACACCAACATCGATATCAGACGAGGTTAGAAAGACCATAAACTCGTATCGGTATGTTTAGTACTTTGATTGTCTTTAACAATGTTTTCTCTAATTTTGGCTTGTATAATTGTATTTATACATTGTAATTATTATAATTTTGCTTTCCTTCAATTTTATTTCGATCTTTTATCAGAAACCTTTCCTCATTACAGAAAAAAAATCCGTCTTCGTGAGAGGCCTGCCTCCTTTAATGCCATATGTAGCAATTCATTTTAAATTTAGACACACTGGTTAAATTCATAACGATACGTCAATTTCATAGACAGAAATTACTCGTATGAAGATTTCACACGGAAGTTAAAAGGAAAGCAGACATTTCGATATGGATTTGCCATTTTTAAATGGATTAAAAAAGAAAACATCTCTAGAAAGACAGTAGGAGTTATATGGTACGTATGAAAATATGTAAATACAAAATTTGTATACTGAGATACAAACGCAACGTTTCGTCTTTTATAAAATAACAACAATGATAATGATATGTTAATGTTTCATTACTTCAAATCAAATATAAAAAACAATACTAACAAACAAAAGTACGAGAGAGAGAGAGAGAGAACAGCAAAAAGCCAGTCTTCGAAAGAAACAAAACACCAACGGCAACCAAAAAAAAAAAATATTGAAAACAATAATAATACATATAAGATAAAATAAACACGCATTACACAGTGAAAAATAGGAATATAAAAATTGATTCCTTCAAGCTATTACAGAAAAGAAGATTTTTAATCATTTTAAAATTCAAAAACCGGTCACAGGAGAAAAAAAAAAGCAATAAACAATCAATCAATCACAATATATGTATTAAAAATTGATTTTGGTCTGAAAATTTTGTCTTGCCCCTATATCTTAAGGTGAAATATCCCTCTACTCTAAATTTCACCATTTTTTAAAATTTCCCTACAATGATTTTTATCAACAACAATAGCATTAGATTTAAATGGAAATAGTTTGAAGCATGAAGCATTGCTTACTTTTTCAGAAATTAATATTGCTTAGAATAATTTCCTTCGCAAGTTATCTCTCTTATCAGACAGGGACATAACACCTTAATTAATTCTAACTTGTCCTTGAAGGGAACCAGTTCTCCCTACAGATCTAGAAGAACGCCATTATGACACACTGAAATTGGTTTTACAAGCAGATTTATTTATAGAAACCTCCAATGGATGGAGACTTGGCAGTTCAAATGTAAATTTGAACTTCATATTTTTGGTGTGTATACTAGGCCAATGATATGGAATGACCGTAATTATGTTTATGTATAAATTAGTTACTATGTAATCAAAATAGCGAAAAGGCGCCATCTGTATGTTAATTAAATGTTAAAATGAAATCAAGGATACAAAGAGTTACATTTTCTTACCCAAAGATTGATTTTCAAATTAACTATAATTTGTACATACTATTCTATTAAGTCTTGTTTGTTTACACTAAAATTGTTATTTTCTAGGAACGAGATAGACCAATGGATATTGCAGATGAGGTACTACAAATGTACAATGAAATCAAAGGCAATGAGAGATATGATTACATGATCTGCAAGATCAATGATAATCGACTGGTCATTGAACATATCGAACAGTTGTCAAACGAAAACCAAGGTAAAAATATATAAATGATACAAAATACGGACAGATTGCAGAGTTCGGGACCCAGGGAGGGCTCAGTTTATCATATACACATACTGGAAATTCATTATGTCTTGGAATATGTTGCTTACTCCATTTTAAGCCTTCGGCTCAAGTGAGCTTTTCTTATCAAAATTTGTCCGTTGTCTGAAGAGTTGTCGTCGTTAACTTTTAACATTTTTGACTTCTTCTCAAGAACCACTGAGCCAATTTCAGCCAAACGTACCACAAAGCATCCTTGGGTAAAGGGGATTCAAGTTTATTCAAATGAACGGCCAAGTCCTCTTTCAAGGGGAGATAATTAAGAATTAGTGAAAATTTGATGACATCTTTTCAATATCTTCCCAAGAATCACACTTTTAGAAAAGATAGAACTTTTAAGAAAGCTTAATTAAATAGTTTAATTTCAAGTTTGTTCAAATCATGACCCCTGTGGGAGGGGGCACAATAGGCGATCGAAGTTTTACTTAGGAATATTGGAAAAAATCTGCTGATGAGAAACAGCAGGGCCATAGTAACTCGGGTGAGTTTTGTAGCCCATGAACCTCTTGTACTCGATCATATCCAAACTTGAAAATAGTTTGGGTCAAGGTTTATGAGGAGTTTTTGTACTGATTTTTTGTGCAACAAGTATTAAGACTAAAATGAAGTCAACTGACTCATTCAGGTGACGTGTTGCTACATGTAACATTTCATCCGGCGTGTATTGTTCCTAAGTTTTTGAATAATTGTAGCTCTTCTCTTAAACTGCTTAACGATTTTAATAAATTAATAAATTTGGTATAAACTATTAATGGGTTAAAAGCGCAGTTATTGCAAATATCTTGGTTCCCCTCCCACAGCGATTTAATGGATTAAGCCAAAAACCATATAAATGAGTGCAATGTTTAAAATTCTTGGATTTCTACTAGACAAACTGCTTAACTGCGATTAAAATGAGCAATATGTCCTTTGCCAACTATGTGTCAAGGGTTCAAACTCCACAACAGCTTTGATCGCACATATCGTATATTGTGTATTTTCTGAGAATGAATTGTATATTTCTTTGTTTGTTTCTTTTTTTTTACTTTTGGACAACTAGCAGGCAAAGTGTGCAAATAATTGTAATAAAACTCTGTGTTTTCTATCAATTTATTGAAATACTCAATTGTCTCCTGTCTATGAAATTCAAAACTTCTGTGACATATATATATTAAGAACATTGTTAAATGAATTGACCAGTATTTTGCTTCCACAAGTACCTTAGTAATGAACCAAGATTATTTGATGATGCTAAGCTCACTGAAAGGAAAAGTATCTAGATTTACATGTGGGTACAAAGGACATCGTAGTTCATTGTAGAGAACTCTTAAGTACTTTTATGTTGTGGTTATGTACTTGGAACAATCTTATTTTTACAAAGTCAACTTCGGTCTTGTAAAAAGCGAACACTCACACACAGTAAGAGCAATATGATTTACATGTATTTGATATAATGTAAAGATGGTTCATGGGAGTATACTTCTAATCATTGAATATACATGTAATTTGAAATTTTATAGGAATCATTTCTAGAATTAGAAATTTAGTTATGTTGTGCCAATCTTACATTATTTTTTGTCACAAACAAAAAAAAAGTTTTTAAAGTGCTTGATATATGAAAAGAGTGTTATAAAAAAGGTATAGTAAGCTGCAAAAAGAATTCAATATGAAATATTTCATAAGACGCTATTTTGAAGCATAAAAGTATCAAGAAACTATCAAAAAACTCGTGTCACAAACGGATGGTATGCATAGAAAATTAAATCTTTGTTGGTTAAATATAATCTTCGCCAATATATTGTATATTTCAATTCATATTGCAGATGTAAAATATGAAAAACTGCATTAAAAAGCAGTTTCCAGATTAGTGCCAATTATTTTTTTTCAAATGTAATATCTCATTGTCTCAAAAAGTAAGGTGAATTAGGGTGTCCAATTTTGAAAAAGATGATACTAGCTAATCACGTAGCAGTAATTATTATGTACAAATATAATCGTTTTAAGATTGTACATTTATTTCTATAAGACGGATCAGATTCATATGAAGATTTCAAACAGAAGATAACAGAGAAACAGAGTTTTAGATATGGGTTTACCACATTTAACATGAGTGTATGCGGAGAAGTCTGTAAAAAGACAGTGGGCATTGCCTGGTAAGTCAGAACAATCTTGAAAAATTATGTGAGTATACCATTTTTGAAACCATGACCTTTGACCTAAGAGTCGTCTTTTCACCTGGGATTACACATTATCTTTTGCATGATGTTAGTGCATGATTATGCAAATGTTTCCTGCATGCTCTAGATACGAGCTTTAGAATTTTTTTTTGTGTATGTGTCGCTGGAAAAAACATAAGGACCCAGTGCTTTTCTGTCCTACCGTCCGTCTTTCTGTCTGTGTGGAGGAGTCACACTTTCACACAAAGTTTAGTAATCTCTTATTCAATTCACTCATTGTGAAACTTAATGAAAAGATACATTTCAGTAATAAACAAGCATCGTATGGAGTTTTAATGATAATTTTAAGGGTTATTTAAACCAAGAAGCAGGGATGGGCACGATTACTGAAAAATGTAATCGATTAATAATCGATTACTCGGAGGAATTTTGTGTAATCGATTATTAATCGATTACACTCATTTTTGTCTTGTAATCGATTACTTTGGAAGATGTAATCGATTAATAATCGATTACTTCCAAGTTTTTATCCCTTCAAATATCAAAGCAATATTTAAATGGTAATGTTGATGATACATGTGTATCCACTGAAGTTTGAATGTGTTCCTGCAGTTTCAGTGCAGATTCTTTTAAGATTTTATTCCGGCTAACATTCTCTCTAAATGCCTAAATGAGGGATACTCTACCATGGAAAATGGAGACATGATTCCTACAATAAAATATGCCAAGGAATTAATTATTCCTTTCAACCTTGGATCTGAACCTCCATATATCTTGGCAAGAAGACTATGCTCTAATTAAATGTGCTTTAGATAACAATCCCGACGTATTTGACATCTTTGTAAGTAAAAAAATAGAGTAAATGAAGTGGAGATAACGAACAGTAATCAAGCTCAAAAATCCATTGAAACAATACAAATCGGGAGCAGAGCAAACATAGACCTCTGAAAAACATTAGAGGTGGGATCAGGTGCCATGGAGGAGTAAGCATTCCCTGTCGGCCGGTCACACCCACCGTGTGTTCATTGTCATGAACGGGAAAACGGAAAAAATCCGTAGACAATTCAGTGTTTAAATAATGGCCTAACAATTAAAATGAAAAACGTCAGTCAGCATTTGACTTAATGATAGGTTGTATTTGCTGACAAGGTCATTGTATCGACCATAAAACTTGCGAAATGATGACTTTAAACGGGACTGCTTATATCTTTGTTTCATCAACTTGTTTTCGGTAGCTTGTCTCGTTTTAGAAATTGTTCGTACGTAGAGCATGCTCTTGCGTATCGAATTATTTGGGAGATATAAACCCCATATGCAGGTGATAAAGGTATATAGCGACATAAGTAAGGGAAGTTGAGTAGAGAATTAAAGGTAATGCACGAAATATCATGCTTTTACTATATTACCGTGGAGCACACAAACTCGGTATGTTCCTTGAACAAGACTAAATTTTTGTAATCTAGGATCATGATATTTGGCAAGTGGATATCGCCATAAAGTCTTTAAATGACATTTGAATTCACTTAGAGGGGACGGCGTATGTTTAACTGTACACGAAAAACATTTCGTACTATGTTTTTGATTTTATTATTGTTGTTATAGGGAACCAACGTATGGAAGCCACCTTGGAAAGCAACATCTGGACACATTCAAGGAAGCTTTACATGCAGATTTATTTATAAAAACTTCTTTCGAAGGAAAGCTTGATAGGAACTATATACAGAGGAATTTACACAGATAATTGTTTACAGATTTATTGTTTAGCTAAAATATTTAAATTTTAAAGCATTGAAATATTACACTTAAATTCAGTTAAGTCGTGCCAATGTCCACAACATTTCATGCATAATAATGAAGAGAACATTTTCTACAGTTTTCAGTGTGTCAATTAACTTTTGATCAAAAAATACTTGAATGAAAGGTATTATTAAATATTAATCGCTAACAGAAAAATTCGACCATGGATACAATATAACACGAAAAAACATGACAATCTCGACAGAAATGAAAACAGCAGTGAATACATAGATTGTGGAACAATACAAAAGCCATGATTCAATTCAGATAAATTCAATTTATATGAATCAGTTTTCTATACACAAAAGAAGTTTTACTTAAAATTCACTTAAGAAAAAATATCTACTTTTGGATTAATAAGGTTACATAAACTTTGGATTTTGTGGTTAATTGCAATTTATACATGAGTAACCATGTAATGGCACTATTATATACTTGTATATACCCCACAACACCACACCCCCACCCATCAAAATCACTTTTACATTAAATAAATTATTGCTTGTTCCTCAATGTCTCAACACCATGTTCAAATACAGTATAGTAAACAAAATTTGCAATACGGGCTAGTCAGACCTCATTATTATATTAAAAGTCGTGAAACAAAATTATTTGTTAGATCCTTCGCTTTATATGTTTATAAAATTTAATATCATTAAAATTACAAAAGCAACATTAAGACTACAAAGAATTTATGCGGCCAGTTGTAAGCTTAAAATTATTCACAGATACATGTATATTTTGTGACAGCAAAGCTGTTTTATAAACAATTCAAAATTTTCAATTTCAAATTTTCGTGTGGTTACTGAAAACTCTTTTTATGAGTTGGAATCCTACTTATTAATAGAACAAATGGAAGACAAAAACCAGTCATTTCTATCATGTAAGCAGCCTATATTTCAAGTTACATTTGAGCAAAGTTAAAACTAAACAACATGAAGATGCTGGTATATAAATTTGACAAATTGAGGTCCAGGCCCGGGGTTCATAAAGCAATCTTAGACTTGTCAAATTTTCATTTATTCATAAATACAAAGATACTTTAAAAATAAAAAAAAAATTTTTAAAAGCATTTCATTTTTTTTTTTTTATGAAAAAGTCTAAATTTGCAGCCCTCCAACGGCAAGTGATGGCGTCACTATATGAGTGAAAAAATCTCGAAAGGGACGTTAAACAACAAACAAACAGCGAAAGGAAAACACGGAAGTTATAAGTTGTTATCTGGACATTTTTTTCTAGGACAAAATTTCGTAAATGAAAATGATATCAGCCTTCAGCCTTCAATGTCTTAGTTATTCAAATAAAAAAAATCAAATTTATTCTGGTCAAGAACAAAACATATTCACCACCAAATGAGTCCATAATTGTGTAATATTTTCACATACCTGGTAATCTGATGATTGAAAGTAGGCGTCATAGAAATATTGTAAAGAAACAGAGATTTTATGAATTTACGAGGATTGATCCAAAAGTTCGGGGAATTTCTTTATACGAGTATTTTACAGTAAAACACGCTTATAACGAACTGCCAGGGACATATGATTTTGATTCGTAATACACGTAATTCGTTATGTCCGTTGGTATCACAGTACATTTTGAAGACACGGGGGAATGAAAATCACTTCGCTGTAAGAGTCAAATTCATTATAACTGCGTTCGCTATAAGTGTTTTACTGTATTTATTTTTCAATGGAAGAGATTGAAAATTAAGGTGGAAATATACATACGCTTGTTGAATTTTCTTGATAAAAATATTTTAAAAAATCATGATAGTAACACTTTGGCAGTTGCCATAGAAAAGGACGTTTGAAATTGCGCGGGAGACATTTATTTGCTCATTATCATTTCAATTCTTATTACTCACAATTACGATTTCTTAAACTCTTATAAACCTTTGTGTTCGGTTTTTACTGGATATTTAGTTTTTCTAATGATGATTTGTTGATCATTATGACCTTGTTAGACAACTTCGAAATTGGGTCAGTTAATAATCAAGTTTTGTGAAAATCTCGGGAACACTCTGACTCAGACGCATAAATATACTAATGATACAGATAGAAAAAAAGTACAGTAAGCAACTGGTTTATCAAATGGTATAAGAAATTGAAGGAAAATAGAACTTAAGATAATGAAAGGTTTAGCTAGCCGCCTATTGGAAGGTCGTTCTTTCCCCGTAGATAAATTGAGTGTTAATGGACGTGGACCGTCGATGCACTGTGCTTGACATTGCTACTTATATCGAAAGATGATATAGAACGACAGAGCGTATTTTCATAAATGATCATAATATGAAGAAAGTGGGAGCGAGATGGGTACCCAGGCTTTCCTCGAAGATAGAAGTGGAGGGAAAAATGCAGTGTTCCGTAGAATTTCTAAGTCGATTTTAACGTAATAATGAGATGCTCCTAGAACGTGACGTGACATACCTAACTTGACGTTACGCCAAAGTCTCCCCCGGATTTTACAGCTGTCCATGTTAAGAAAGCTCCTGTGACCTTAATGGTGATTGGAATGTGGTGAAATTTTCCAGCATTGTTGCATAATGGCTCTATGTTATAGATATTCTTTTGTTTGCTTTAATTACCTCACAATAAATTTTTAGAAAGAAATTATGGAACGCCGGGACTGTCTTATTTGAGGATTAAACATTATATGCAGTGTTCTCTTCATTATATGTGGTACTATTTTAATTATATGAAGTAGTTTTTACAGTATATCGTGTGCAACTTCCATTATATACAGTACTTCTTTCATTATATGATGTAGATGTGTCATTATATTATGTACATCTATCATTATATGAGGTGTTTTTATCATTATATGAAGTGCTTTTAACATTATATGCGGTAGATCTAACATTATATGCAGTGAACACAACAATATATTAATATGTACTTCTCACATTATATACAGTATATTCATCATTATATGTAGTATTTCTGTTATTATGATGATGCTGATCGTTAAATATTATGTCCGGTCCTGTTAGCATTCCGTGCGGTAGATTTTGCATTTCGTTATGATGTAGACACAGTATTATATGCGGTGCTTTCTTCTTTATGTGTATGATCTTTCGGAAGCTACCTTTCGGAACTCTCTGTTAAAAATTCGGTACCTTGAGAACTGCGACCTTTCCTGTTGAATTCAGTACAATAAAAGCATGCGTATATAACAATTAATGCTCCGTGAACAGGTTAAAATGTTTTTTTTAAAGATATGAAGTATAGGGTAATAGAGTAAAATAAAATCCATTCTATTTCATGCTATGAAGTAAAGAGAGAGAGAGGGGGTGATGATAGAAATATTTTGGGAGTGGAAAAAAAATTTGAGGCATTTTCTATCATTTTTGTGAACAATATGACTTTCATAAAGATTCATATCATATATAGGACAATCAATGTCAAAAAAGATAAAAAAAAAAAAAAAAAACAAAAAAAAAAACAGGGGCGTCGGCAAGAATTTGACATTGGGGAGGCGAACTGGATCGAAAAGGGGGGGGGGGTCCTAACCAACTAAAATAAGACTTCAGCCAAAATCTTTATATTTTTATTTTCTGAATAATAATAAAGAACAATTAAACATGCAACCAAAAAAAAAATGTTTTATGTGAATTAAGTTATATGTACTATAGATAAAAAAAAAACGGAATATGTTTAATTAGCTAGGAGCTAGTGTTTTTTTTTTCCGAAACGGCATAGAAAGAACTTTGAAGGGTTTATGAGGTAAAGATTAAAATACATATAATTTTCTATTATTGTATAATATTTATAGTTACTCGCCGAAAGAATGCATACATGCATGTAGTCACGGTTAAGAAAAATTTACTTGGCTTTGGATTGTATCTTATATAGTCAAATATCTGCATTTCAAAACTGCGTTCGCATGGATAATGCTTACAAGTGAAATGGCAAGCTTTTAAATAAGGACCTCTCCGTTTTTCACGAATTCCATTCAATCCGAAACATAGGAAAAAATATGCATATTTTTAAAATCAATTCAAGAAAAAAAAACTGAAAAAAGGGGGGGGGGGAGCTTTTCGATCTTGTTAGTATGAAATTTAAAATGAACAGGGTGATTAATCCTTCATAATCCCCCCATTTTTGAAATGCAGAAATGTGTATGACATAAAAAAATCATCTGAAGTTGTTTTAAATAGTATTTGTTACCCAGTATTTTAGTATATTGCTTTAATTTTAATAGCTTACAACTTCGATTCATCAAAGATTTCCAAACATCGATAGGACCAATTCATTAGACAATGAACAGGTCTGTTATACGCGGGGGAAGGTGTCAGGAAGGGGTTCTCTAATTTTTTTTCCCAATTTCTCCACTTTTTCTGAGAACAGGCTTAAGTTTCGATATGTAGAAATTCATTAACGCTGCTGCCCCCTCCTTTCATACACACTTTCTGTTGCTGTCAGGTCGAAATCGGATAAATTCCAAAAGAATTGAAAAGAAAAAAAAATCCGGCAACTTAGAGATTCCCCCCACCCCCACCCCCCAAAAATAGAATTTCCAAAAACGTTGCTAGCTGTGGGCCTGATGAAGAATTTGTAGCAAACTTGCACGTAGAGCGATGGATACGATGCTTATTGTTTACAAACGCCAGGTACAGGTATATAATTATACACGTACACGTACATCCCAATTTGCGTCTGTGTAAACAATAGCTTTCACACTTCGCCGCTCCATTGACCACAGATATTGCCATTACAAATGTTGTGATTTTGTTTTTCTCATTTATTTTTCTTTCATTTTTCATTTCTTTTTTTGTGTGTGGGTGTGTGAGTGTGTGTTTTTTTTCAAAATTATCGGGGCGGCGATCGCCGCCCCTTTGCCGACGCCCCTGAAAAAACTAACTGCATTCCTATGCCTTCGAGTACGCAGGGCTTTAACGACGGCTTATAGAAAACACTACATGTATTTACTTATTTGTTTGTTTTTTAGGGGTGGGATGTGCTAATTTTTCACAATGTAAATTACCCTTTTATCTCTCATTTTATTTGGAAGAGGGGGCTCTACATATATATATATATATATATATATATATATATATATATATATATATATATATATATATATATATATATATATATATATATATATATATATATATACGTTGTATTACTGTTTAATTTTACCACATATCTTTTTAGAAGTAAAATCTTGAAGTACAACCCACGACTCAATACATTTTCTGTTCTGAAAATCGTTTATCTTTTCCTGATACATTACATAACATTCACATAGTATTTAACTAAAGACAATTTCAGCAATTTTTTTATACGCCATAGTTTAACAATTAATACTATCGAACAATAGAATTATTTCAGTAATACATTGTAATAAGTGCATATCTCTCTCTCTCTCTCTCTCGTTGTAAACTACTGAAGTATTGATATGACTTCGAAATTCCTTTAATATAGGGATAAATATTGTGTGGTATGTGATTATTCCGCGATGCTTTGGCTGACGTGTGGTTGATTACCAATTATTAAAGATGACCCAAAATCAATAAGAATTTTCATATCTAAGAACGAAAAAAGGTAGAACTTTCTAAATCTAACAAGGGGGGTTCCGAAAAGTAGCTTCCGAAAGATCATACACATAAAGAAGAAAGCACCGCATATAATACTGTGTCTACATCATAACGAAATGCAAAATCTACCGCACGAAATGCTAACAGGACCGGACATAATATTTAACGATCAGCATCATCATAATAACAGAAATACTACATATAATGATGAATATACTGTATGTAATGTGAGAAGTACATAATATATTGTTGTGTTCATCGCATATAATGTTAGATCTACCGCATATAATGTTAAAAGCAATTCATATAATGATAAAAACACCTCATATAATGATAGATGTACATAATATAATGACACATCTACATCATATAATGAAAGAAGTACTGTATATAATGGAAGTTGCACACGATATACTGTAAAAACTACTTCATATAATTAAAATAGTACCACATATAATGAAGAGAACACTGCATATAATGTTTAATCCTCATATAAGACAGTCCCGGCGTTCCATAAGAAATCCCGCTACCTTTTGAATCAACCCTCGTATTTGTCATCTATACAGACTTGAGAGTCAAATATCTCAAAAGCTATTATTGGCTTCATTTAAATTTGTACAACTCTTACGTGTCCAAGACTTTTCTGAACTTTGTAAGTTTGGAAAAATTTTACATTTAGCACGCATATATGTGTGATAAAAGTATGCATTAAACAAATAATTAACAATAATGTATTCACTACAACCTGTACACAGACGCTTTGGTCACTACCGTAGACTTCAGCTCAAAGTCTACAGAATGGACAAAAACGTCTGTCTATTAAACCATGAAAACCGATATCTTGTTATTCACAGGATAGCATAGATGAAATTGAATGATATATATATTTTTTTGCACTGTGAGACTTTATCCCTGTGGCAATGTGGGGAGGACTTAGGTCTGGAAATCCGAGGAACTGGTTTTTCACCAAGGAGAATTGGCGAACAGATGAAATTGTACATAAGTACACTTCAGAAATGATCCATCCTTAGTAGGCATTGATAAGAAGTAGTTGCTACATTTTGATAATTATGCTGAAGAAATTACCAGATATTATTTTACATTTAATGTAATTTACTATGAAAACAAAATGAAGCTGAAGATATTCAGGGTTCAGCTTTGAAATATTTTTTATGCAAAACACCTAGTTCAAATTGATTAATTAATTAACCACCCTAGCTTTTCAAACGAAGGATTTGTTAACTCGTGTAGAGATGTATCAAGAATAATTCTAGCAACCCGTTTCTGACGTTTAAGAAATCTTTTAGTACCATTCTTATCTACATTTATTAATACTTTAAAACAAATAGCTAATTTATATCAAAATAAACGTATTACAGGAAAATTTTATGGCACTTAATAGAAAAATATCTTAGTTTTACAGAACGTAGAAAACTTGTATAACATTTTGCAAAAAGAGATTCATCTACATGTATAACATTGCAATTCATACGTATTTATTGAATTGAGATAACTAATAGATTTCATATTCAGTATTGTACATTATTATACCATTATCTTATCGTATTTCCTTGCTATTTGTATGCGTAATTGTATGGAACGCCAAGTTAACATATATTCAAATATTTCAACCTATCTTCAATTAATTATACCTATCTTCAAATCAATTGTAACTATCTCCAAATGAATTAAAGATAGGTTTAATTCAATCTATCTTTAATTCATTTGAACATAGGTACAATTGATTTGAAGATAGGTACAAATGCCATGAATCAAAGATAGGTATAATTGATTTAAAGATAGGTGCAATTGAATTGAACCTATCTTTAATTATGAAGATACTGACAATAACAACTACTCCCCATAAAAATGCAATGTGCAGTTCCCTCCATGTTCAAGTCGCTGTTAGAGGGAGCTTTCATTATTTTCAATAACACAAAACGAATTGAACCTAGGTATAATTGAATTGTACGTATCTTTAAATCGTTTGTGGATATGTTACAATTGTACCTATCTTCAAATCAATTGTACCTATCTTTTAATCAATTGTACCTATCTTCAAATGAATTGAAGATAGGTATAATTCAATTGAACCTATCTTTAATTGAATTGAAGATAGGTGTAATTCCATTAAAGATAGGTGTAATTTATTTGAACCTAGGTTTAATTATTTAGAGAAATGTATGATTATTTACACCTATCTTTAATTCAATTGTACCTATCTTTAATTCAATTGTACCTATCTTCAATTCATTTGGAGATAGGTTCAATTATTTGAAGATAGGTTCAAATATTTGAATATATGTTAATTTGGCGTTCCATATAATTGCCTATCAATTCTACTTACTCTCCAATTGTTAAACATGCATCTCGTGCAAACGAATCACTTGTAATTCTTGTTTGAATTATTTCAAGGTTGATTTTTGTGTATCGATGACCAAAACCTGAGATATAACGCTGTCTTTCCAGTCCACAATTTAGAGTAATATATATTTCTGAAATTCTTTCCGGGCTATATTCTGAAACCCTTGATCATAATAATTGTAATCTTCATCGATTCTTTTCGATTTCCTGCTACATGTAAATGTTACTTTTTCTGTCTCGGCAAACTGTCCCTTTGACCATTGAATTCTCATCTGACATTCATATCGGAAAGAGAAAAAATATCTTTTTTGTACCATAATGAAATTAATAGTTTCACATTTAGAATATATCCTTGGGTCTCTAAATATTCACACGTCCGTTGGATTAGCAACTCAAAATTGAGATTATATTTCTGTGAATTACTTTAAATTTAGTGGCGCAGTGGTTTGAGAGTCTGCTCTAGAGTCGCGGAGGAGTTACATGTACGTCGCGGGTTCGAATCCACTGTTGAACGTGGATTAAGCCTTAGCACCAAGGTTGAAGTTGGGTAAAATTTTGCAAAAATGGGTCAAACTCCAAGATCAAGGCCAAAAGGTCAAATATGATGGTACCCAAAGAAAAGTCTTGTCACAAGGAATACACATGTGAAATATGAAAGCCATAGCTCCAACCAATCAAAAGTAATGGGCAATGTCAAAGTTTTTGCGGACAAACAGACAGACAGACGGACAGGGAAAAACTATATAACCCCGAATCTTCGATACGGGGGCAAAAAAATAATGACAATGTTTTTTAAAAAAAATCCATTCGTGCAAGTACATTTGAATAGAGGCGATTCTTGTTGTGATTTATACATGTACCTCAGATTGGTCAGAAGTCAAATTTATTCTTATAAATGATATAATTGGTGAAGGATTTTAGTGTGCGATGCACTGTGAATATAAAGTCGATCCCAATTCCCCATTTAAGAATTTTATAGAATTTTATAGATTTAGTTAAAAACCGAAATTAGACAGACTGCTATCATCAGTGATTTATAAATGGTGATTTATAAATTATTTCGAAAGCATAGAAATATTTTTACATGGAATTTTAAACAACATTCTTTTAATATTTGCGTGTAATTTACACGAATAAGTATACTGTACAAGTAAAAAGTTAATTACCGGTGAAAAAACAAGGAAGGGGTCGGAGTGGTTTGATATTTTATCTAGTCATATTTCCTTTTCTGATATGCATGTACATTGTGAAAAAGTACATTTGCCTAACCACAAATAGCACACTAAAATAGGTATTTAATTAATTAATTAATTCCTGTTTGAATGAAGATATACATGTTATATACAAGATTTTTTTTTCTTTTTCCATTTCTTCTCATTTTCTTTCTTATTTTTTTTTCTTTTGATAAAGTTTCAAGCGCATTGTTTCAATCCATGGACAATATAATAATAATAAGATTTTTACATGTACTTAAGACACCCCACCCCACCCCCTTGTAGGTAGGATGATCTAGTTTTGGGAGAGATTAATATGTTTTCTGTGCTTGCACGTTAATTAACGTAAATTTCGTGTGCACTGTCATAACATTTGCGAACATTTTACCATAAAATGATTCTGTGAGATTTTGTTTGACTACTACACACCAATATCAAGATTTTCTGAGAAATCTCACTTTGGTGGCACGCACGTTTGAGAAAAGTCTCGGATTTGACTGAGAAAAATCTCAGATTCGAGAAAAAAAAAACTCAAACGACAAGTCTGAGATTGAGAAAATATTTATTTGGTGGCACAGTTCGGTGAGAAAAACTTTATATTTTCTGAGAAATCTCAGATTTGAGAAAATCTCGGCGTTGGTGGTCAAGAAGCCAGAACGGTATTCGAACCCCTGAATCTCGATCCAGTCAGGTGCTTATCTTGCCATCGGCGATCGAACCCGTCTGACCGCGCCACCTTAGAGAGCAACTTTTATTTTTAAAAATGTTAAAAACAGCAAAAATTGTTGGTCTTAGTCGCGAGGTCTTTTGTAAAAATTTAATCAGAATGATCATGCTGTTTCCAAAGAGCATTAACGTCGGGTTCGGTATTTCAAAAACTCACTCAATATGGTTCGCCAGAAAAACAGGTGTGTAGAGTCAGAGATGAAAATAACATGTCTCTGATGATTTCATTCGATTTCGTCAATTCTCAATCTAATTAGAAGCAATTTGTAGGTACCAGATCAAATTATAGATCATCATCCTCAGTAAATCAAATAATTCTTAGCCCTTATCAATTCACAGGGGTATAAGGTTCGTTCGCCCTATCTACCTGTTCGCATGAGTCCGTTCGCGCAGGGACCGTTCGCTATTATTCTTGTTCGCCCTATATCTCGTTTGCCCTATTATATACATGTATATAGTATATAGTAAATATCAACATTTGTTATTAATTTTATTCAATATTTTATGACTTGGTGTTTTTTTTCAAATGTTGCTACAGAATTTTTTTTATTTACCGTAATCTTAATTAAATAATTCATATTTGATATTTATGCTCTTTACACTGTTACATGCTTAACTGTTTTAATTATACTTAATAATGTCACTGTAATTTAGGGGTTCATACAATCTGCGTTATGTTTTGAAAACAATTAAAGGACTGAGACGTTAATTTCTGTTGGTCTGCCGGGTCTTTGATACACATGCATACTTCTGTTGTCTCCCGTATGCAATTTATGTACCAATGTACATATAATTTATTTAAAAAATCCATTGGTTCATTATTCAACTTTCTGCAAATTATAAATAAGGCGAACGGACCCTGTGCGAACAAGTTTTAGGGCGATCGGACTCTGGGCGAACAGGAATTAGGGCGAACGGCGTCAAGGGCGAACAAGTTTTAGGGCGAACGAACATACAACCATTCACAGGTACTTAGACCTGTCTTGGTTTATAAATATGTACTTTTTTACACATTCAATAGGTACATAAATGTATACACATTTATAAACCAAGACCCAAGTACCTGTGAATAAATTTTGAAGTAGTGTTCACACTACAGGGTTTGACATTAACTTTTATGAGTACCAGACCAGTCGGGCTACTTCCCATAGTTTTTACTAGCCCTGACCATAAAATCACTAGCCCCGACTAAACTTGAAAATTTTCTTTTTATAACCTGGTATTTTAATGAAAAAAGTTCGAAACCATACTATCTCTAGCACGTGTTAAGATTACACTTTCCATAGGTCGCAGCCCATTGAGTCGGGTTATGCGGAACATACAAATATAATAGGCTTTAAAGAACATTCAAGGAAATTTTTAAAAAATATTACCGTAAATATAAATAAATTAGAGAATATATTATTCGATAACTTGGCTAGTTTCGATCGCGAGTTGTCTATTACAGCTGGGCTAAAAACAGCGATTGTGTCATGCGGTTAAGTTTTCTTTTTCAGAGCGATGGCTGTGTTTACAATCGTAAAATTAAGAAAATTTCATTAAAAAGTTTTTTAGAACATTTATTTGGAAGACTGCGATGAGGATTAACATTAATTATTTCATCCACACGACCAGTCGGTCTAGTTCACGAACATTTGACACGACCGGACCGCTCTTTTACTAGACTGGGTCGGTCGGACTTGCCTTAGTGTCAAACCCTGCACTAAATCGATTTTATTGATTTTATATGTTACCGATCTTTTACCATGTTTCTGTGTTCAACATACTGCTAGACAAAATTTCCAGTTTCTTATTTAGATTGGGAACTTTTCATTGGGGTGGGGGTGGGGTGGGGACTGACAATGCTGACAGAAAATGCGTAAAATGATTACAAATTCAATTTAAATTTATAGATCTACAGGCACCTCATTCTAATTGCCTAAAAATGTTCTTTCATTAAAATTATCCTATATATGTGTTGGATCTTGTCCCAAGATACAGTTACATTATTCTCTGTAGTACCAATATCTTGCTACGTACATGGTATATGGGTTCAAGATGAAGTCGGCTAGCCAGTAAGTCCTGGATATATAGTTTGAAACTCTGAGACAGATAATTCAAGATTCCCATGACTAACACCTGCTTTTTATACTGACCCTGCACATGTCACAGTGTAAAAGCAGGGATTAGAGTCAGAGGAATCTCAGATTATTTGACAGACTGTTAAGTTATCAGCTATTAAGTGTTAGACTATGGACCTGTACTATAGCTGATGTATAGAAGTCCCTAGTAAGACATTGGATTCAAATAGAAAAAAAATACTGAAAAGTGTTCTGACAACAGGTTAAATGGAAATATATATGTGAATAAACATTAAATTTTTTCCAAGATAGAGCAAAAAATCAGAAAAACAAAAATACCAGATTATCAGATTAATATGTAGAAATTACGTGAAGTGGTATATTAAATATTAATGTTAGCTAGCTTTCCTCTTTATTGTGGTGAGGGTAGCATATCTTTCAATATACATGTAGTAGCTTTATTAAGCAGCTATATCGCTGCTACAATCTTGAACAACATAGTCAGAAATTCCCTATAAAAATCATTATCATGAATAATAGAGTTATTTACATGGAAGAACTTTACTGATTTGTTGGATTTTTTTTTTTTTTTGGTTAAACAGTCGATCTTCACAATAATTATACTTTTGTCACATGTATTTGTGTGATATTTATGTTCATATATAGTTTCAAATTTAAAGGTATCTATTGTGTGAAATTATTTATATGGATGGTAAGAGATTGAAAAGAAATCTAAAAGAAAGAGATATTTACTGTTGTGTCCGAGATGCAGTGGCCAGAGAGCATGGAGACTATGGATTGGCTACAAGCTTAAAATCCTTGTCAGGTGAGTACCATGGAAATATATATAACTTGACATATAAAATGTTCTTGTGCTATCTGCAGTTATTTTTGTTGATCAAAGGGATTAGTAGACCTATAATATAATTATATAATTATAGTGATGCTGCCGAAGCACTTTCTGGTAACACGTACATTTCACATCTAGGATCTTCTTTAGTTTAAATCATTTTGAAATCAATTTGTAGTTGAGAGAAAAAAAATTGACATATCAGTCATATTATTATCTTAATAAGTGACGGAGGAATTTCTGACTAAGAACTCAACTCAGTTTATTTTCCTTTTTTATTTTATCTTGCCTAACATCCTGCAAATTATAATAAAAGTTACTATAAATAAATATGTGCAAAATTATTGCTATCACAAATATTTTATAACACAATAATAACAGAAAAGTTATTCTAAAATTATATTGCTGCAATGTCATTACTTTGTAGCATAAACATTTAATGTGAATTTACACATTTTGTTTATTTCAAGAAATTTGATGAATGACTTTGTAATTCAGTGCAGGCTTACTTCCACCCAAATATAGTGATGATAAAGGTCTCAAGAGATAGCCATAAAATGCTACAGTCTGCACTCTTCTTTGTTCGTAAGATAGGACAGTACGAAGCTTTCTTCAACACCCTTCACATTTCTGGTAAGCTCATGCAGTTGTGTTTTTCTCAAAATTGATTTATTTTGGACAGAAAAATGAAATTCAATATGTTATGCCTGTCAACACTTTGGCAAAAAGTGTAAAACATTTTTGAATGTATATCCATGACACTTTTGTCATGTTTGTTGTGACATGGTAACTCAAAAAGAAAATGTTTTCAAATTTTGTCTGTCCCCTATCACTTTGTCTGTCTATACATATGGATGCTTCCATTTAAATATGACTGCACATGGTCATGGCTTTGCTGTTCTTGAGAAGATTTTTAAAGAATTTTTCTATATATTCCCATGTAAAACTTTGATTGTCTATAGTGGCCACACCCTGCCCATGGGGAGGTGGGGGGGAGGGGGTGAGTTCGTAATTATCTTCCCTTTGAAGAGAGTGTGGCCTTTTATTTAAAAAAAAAAACTTGATCTGCAGAAATGCTGACTTGAGCTTTGGCTCAGGTGAGCAAAAAAAACTCACAATAATTATAAAACACTGAATTTTTTTAAATCAGAAAAATCATCTAATTATGTAAAATCTTAGGGATGCTAGTAAAAATCATCTCTAAAGTAACACTCAAATCATGGAGTTGACAAAACAATAATTATGCTGGTAATATGAGCAGAAAATTGAAAGGCTCTAGCACTTTTAAATCCAAATTTCTGGTGATAATGTGTGATGTTGGCAATTGAGACTAAATTACAGACATTGCCACATTATATCAGTAATGTTTTTATTTTCATAATTAAAGTAATCTTTATAACTCAATATTATTAATATTTAAAGAAAAAAAGATTCCAACAATTTTCTTTGTATTTCTTTAGAGTTTGACGAGTGAAAAATACATTTGGACAAGTAACATTTGTTGACAACTTGTCCAATGGACAAGTGGATGTTATAGTTAATGTTCAGCCCTGTCCTACTCAATCTAGTTAAAATTAGATGTTCCGAATCTGCTACCGCTTCTGAGAAGCGGTAGCGGATTTGGAACATCTAATTTTAATTAGATTGTTGGAACATCTAATTTTAATTAGATTGTGTCCTACTTTCATCATATTTCTACTTTTATCTCTAACCAAAGAATGAAGGTACATGTATATTTCTTTTCGTGTTGCAATACAAATGCATTTATGTCCTATGGACATAATTTTAGTTTTTTAACACTTTGAAGAAATCCTGACCTGCCTGCTTAGACTTTGTCAACTCTCTTTTCATCCCAGACTTTTGCATTTAACCTAGTTTTAGACGTACTGCAGATGTACATTATGTACTTCCAATGGAATCCATTTATACATGTATGTTATGTAGTCAGAAAAGGGGCATCGTATTCTGGTGATGCAGTCCTAGTTCTGTGTTTAGAAAAAAAAACTACTAATTATTGATTTACTCCTTGTTTTATTTAGGCACAATAAGAACATGCCAAAAATTTTACGTCAATTACCTGAGGCGAGAACTTCCACAGCTTCTGAAGGAATGTAAGACTCCAGGTATGTCATGATCCAAAATGTTATTACATGTTGATCTTGTTCTCATTCAAAGTTTTAAAACTTACTGAATGACTGTATCTATGTCCATTTGATGACTTAAAAAATTAAAACATTTATGTAGCACTTCAAGGATACCATTATCTTAATTTGAATATACATTTTACAAGTAATAGGGTACATAGCACTTAAAAGATACCATTACATACATTGAATATACATTGTAAATGTAAAATATCATGCATGCATCCAACACACCTAGGTGCAAGATAGAGATAAATACAAATGAATTAAAATGATTTCTTTTCTATAAACCAATAGCAGTCATCTTTAGTCTTTTTTAGCTCTACTGGTCAGAGACCAGAAGAGCTTATGCGATAGTAAGGTGTGTGTCGTCCGTCCGTCTGTCTGGCTGTTTGTCTGTCCGTCTGTCTGTAAACAATTTTTCAAAACGCTACTCCTAAAACAGTTTTTGTCTGATTTCAGTATAACTTGGCACAAAAGTAGACTACACTAAGATTCTTAATTTAGTGCATCTTTTTTTTTATTTCAATAAACGGTGTTGCCATGGTTACTAAAAATAGAAATTTCTGTGAAATTCCTTTAAAATGCTACTCCTCCTACAGTTTTGGTCTGATTTCAGTATAGCTTGGCACAAAAGTAGACTACACTAAAATACATAATTTAGTGCATCGTTTTTTTGATTTCAATGAACGGTGTTGCCATGGTAACTAAAAATAGAAATTTCCATAAAATTCCTTTAAAATGCTACTACTCTTACAGTTTTGGTCTGATTTCAAAATAACTTGGCACACAAGTAGACTACACCAAGATACATAATTTATTGCATGGGTTTTTGATTTTGTTAAGCAGTGTTGCCATGGTTACTAAAAATAGAAATTTCTGTGAAATTCCTGTAAAATGCTACTCCTCCTGCAGTTTTGGTCTAATTTCAATATAGCTTGGCACACAAGTAGACTACACTAAGATACATAATTTAGTGCATGGGTTTTTGATTTGGATGACTGTGTTGCCATAGTTATTAAAAATAGAAATTTCTGTGAAATTACTTTAAAACACTACTCCTGCTACAGTTTTGGTCTGATTTCAATATAATTTGGCATACAAGTAGATTACTCTACATACATAATTTAGTGCATTGGTATTTGATTTTGATGAGCAGTGTTGCCATGGTTAATAAAAATAAAAATAACTTTGAAATTCCTTGAAAACGCAATTCCTCCTACAGTTTTAGTCCGATTTTAATATAACTTGGCACACAAGTAGACTACACTAATATAATTTGATGAATCGGTTTTTGATTTTGATGAATGGTTTTGCCATGGTTACTAAAAATAGAAATTTTTGTAAAATTCTTTTAAAACATAAGTCCTCCTACAGTGTTGGTCTGATTTCAATGTAATTTGGCACACAATTAGACTACACTACGATACATAATAATAGTGTATATTGGTTTCTGATTTCGGTAAATGGTGTTGCCATGGTTACTAAAAATAGAAGTTTCTGTGAAATACTGTCAGAACGCTACTCCTCCTACAGTTTTTGTTTGATTTCAGTATAACTTGGCACACAAGTAGACTATATTAAGATACATAATTCTATTTATTGCTGCATGTTGCAAAGTTTCAAATCCAAGTGTTACTTTTCCTTTGTTATGCGTACAGACCAGTAGAGCTACAGTCTCATCAAAGACTTCTGGTTTTAGTCATCCATTCATCCAAATTACTCAGCATAAACATATATGTATAAAATTAGTAATTATTTTATTTTTACAAAATGCAGATGAGGAAAAGGAAGTGAAAAGGGCCATTTCATCATGTGTTGCTGTTGAAGTGACTTGAGCATTATCAGGGATACAAAAAATACCAGTAACATTGAAATCTAGTACTACAGTGATCATAAAGAACACTGTTGGTAAATGTTAGAGAGATGGGCAGAGAAAATGTTAAGCATCCTGCATTTATCAGTGACTCTCAGGGAACCAGACAAAACATACCAAATAATGAAATAGTCAATTGTTAAAGAGATTTTGAATAAATAAATATGGGTGAACCCTCTTGCTCTTTTGTATGACAAAGCATTTTCAAGGACCTCTTCGGCTTGATAATTATCTCTTCAAACCACAGACAAACCTGTAATACATTTTGTAATCCACTGTATAATAATAAACTATGAATTTAAAAAAAATTATTACAGAAAACAAGTGCCTTTGCTTCAAACCTGGGGATAGAGTTCATCCAAATCTTTTTCACAGAATCAAACAACTTCTTTAAGTACTGAAGACATACACAGGATTGCGCTATGTATGCAATCAAAAACTTTTTTGCCAAAATTTGTCACAGCATACTTAAAATGCATTTAAGACGTACAATGGCAATCCAAGAAATCCGGGTAATTTTCTATCCGTGGATTGAAGGAAAACTGTGGTTCCACAGAATTATTAACTTGTGGAAAAAATTCATAGACAGAGAGAATTCAATATTTAGAAATCTTGAATCAGTCTTCAGCAGTAACTGAGTAGAGTCAATATATTTCAGTTCAAAATTTGAACCTAAACGTGTAAAAAAGCCATAAAACTATGTATCACGTTCAGTATTTCATGGGGAGGGGTCATTACTTTGCAAGAAAATGGAACCTAATGTTAGATTTTAAAATTATCATGCAAGCTGATACAATCTTGAACACAACTGAGGTTTTGGGCTTATATATAACCAGGTCAAATTGATTCTTGATACACCATCTGAAGTCTTTAGATGTCCATAGCATGGGATTATATTTTGAACATTTATTGTTTTTAGCTCACCTGAGCCGAAGGCTCAAGTGAGCTTTTCTGATCACATTTTGTCTGTAGTCCATCTGTCCGTCTGTCTGTCCGTCCGTCCGTCTGTAAACTTTTCACATTTTCGACTTTTTCTCAAGAACCACTGGGCCAATTTCAACCAAACTTGCCACAAAGTATCCTTGGGTGAAGGGGATTCAAGTTTGTTCAAATGAAGGGCCACGCCCTCTTTCAAGGGGAGATAATGAAGAATTAGTGAAAAATTAGTAGCATCTTTTAAAAATCTTCTTCTCAAGAACCACAAAGCCAGGGAAGATGAAACTCATGTGGAAGCATCCTCAGGTAGTGTAGATTCAAGTTTGTTCAAATCATGACCCCCGGGGGTAGGGCGGGGCCACAGTGGAGGATCAAAGTTTTACATAGAAATATATTGGAAAAACCTTTAAAAATCTTCTTCTCAAGAACAGCAAAGCCATGATGAGTCATATTTATATGGAAGCATCCTCAGGTAGTGTAGATTCAAGTTTGTTCAAATCATGACCCCCGGGGGTAGGGCGGGGCCACAATGGAGGATCAAAGTTTTACATAGAAATATATAGGAAAAATCTTTAAAAATCTTCTTCTCAATATCAGCAAAGCCATGATGAGTCATATTTATATGAAAGCATCCTCAGGTAGTGTAGATTCAAGTTTGTTCAAATCATGACCCCCCGGGGGTAGGGCGGGGCCACAATGGAGGATCAAAGTTTTACATAGAAATATATAGGAAAAATCTTTAAAAATCTTCTTCTCAGGAACAGCAAAGCCCTGATTGATCATATTTATGTGGAAGTATCCTCAGGTAGTGTAGATTCAAGTTTGTTCAAATCATGACCCCCCGGGGGTAGGGTTGGGCCACAATGGAGGATAAAAGTCTGAAATAGAAATATATAGGAAGATATGTTCTGATGAAGAACTGCAAAGCCATGATTAGTCATTTTGATATTGAAGCATCCTCAGGTAGTGTAGATTCAAATTTGTTAAAATGATGACCCCAGGGGATAGGGATGGGCCATAATGGGGGATCGAAAATTTTACATAGGAACATATAGGAAAATATCTTCTTCTCAAGAACTGAAAATCATGTTTAGTCATTTTGATATGGAAGCATCCTCAGGTAGTGTAAATTCAATTTTGTTCAAATGATGACCCCGAGGGTAGGGTGGGGCCCAATAAGGGGATCAAAAGTTTTACGTAGGAACATATAGAAAAAAATTTCTTCTCAAGAACAGAAAAGCTATGTTTAGTCATATTGATATGGAAGCATCCTCAGGTAGTGTAGATTCAAGTTTGTTCAAATGATGACCCTTGGGATAGGGAGGAGCCACAATTGGGGATCAAATTTTTACAGAGGAATATATGGGAATTTTTTTTTAAATCTTCTCAAGTACAACAAAGCCATTTGTTAAAACAAATTATATATTGACATGGAAGCATCATCAGGTAGTTTAAAATTCAAGCCCCCCCCCCCCCCCAGAATCTTTTCAATACTGAACTGATTTGTGCTTTTGCCTTGCCAATGTGCCCAGGTGAGCGATGTGGCCCATGGGCCTCTTGTTGACCCATTGAAGAATATTGTGGTCTCATAAGCTTTAAATGAGAGGATTTAAAAGGCAATATATGCTGCCCTCATTTGAAATACTGACCCTGTACAGTATAATGTCTCATAGATTCATTTTCATATAGGTTACTTGAAGAATGCTTGCCAGGGTAAGTGTGGAACGAAGATGTGGGAATTAACTGAGCCATATGATTACATAACGACAGATAAAAAAATCAATATACATAGAGGATATTCAATGTTTTATAGATGAATATGGAATTTGTTTCACGAGTGGGACAGGATTTTTTGATATTTTCACGAGTGAGAAGCACGAGTGAAAATATAAATAAAATCCTGTCTCACGAGTGAAACAAATTCCATATTCATCTACAAAACATTGAATTTTCTGTTTATTACATTTTCTTTGATTTTCCCTTTGCCTCTGTCTTTTTAGCTCACCTGAGCCGAAGGCTCAAGTGAGCTTTTCTGATCACATTTTGTCTGTAGTCCGTCTGTCTGTCCGTCTGTAAACTTTTCACATTTTCGACTTCTTCTCAAGAACCACTGGGCCAATTTCAACCAAACTTGCCACAAAGTATCCTTGGGTAAAGGGGATTCAAGTTTGTTCAAATGAAGGGCCACGCCTTCTTCCAAGGGGAGATAATTAAGAATTCGTGAAAAATTAATGGCATCATTAAAAAATCTTCTTCTCAAGAACCACTGTGCTTGAAAACATGAAACTTATGTGGAAGCATCCTCAGGTAGTGTAGATTCAAGTTTGTTCAAATCATGACCCCCGGGGGTAGGGTGGGGCCGCAATGGGCGATCAAAGTTTTACATAGGAAATATACAGGAAAAATCTTTAAAAATCTTCTTCTCAAGAACAGCAAAACCATAATTGGTCATATTTATATGGTAGCATCCTCAGATAGTGTAGATTCAAGTTTGTTCAAATCAAGACCCCCGGGGGTAGGGTGGGGCCACAATGGGCGATCAAAGTTTTACATAGGAATATGTAGGAAAAATCTTTAAAAATCTTCTTCTCAAGAACAGCAAAGCCATAATTGGTCATATTTACTTGGAAGCATCCTCAGGTAGTGTAGATTCAAGTTTGTTCAAATCATGACCCCCGGGGGTCGGGTGGGGCCACAATGGGCGATCAAAGTTTTGCATAGGAATATATAGGAAAAATCTTTAAAAATCTTCTTCTCAAGAACAACAAAGCCATCATTGGTCATATTTATATGGTAGCATCCTCAGGTAGTGTAGATTCAAGTTTGTTCAACTCATGACCCCCGGGGGTCGGGTGGGACCACAATGGGCGATCAAAGTTTTACATAGGAATATATAGGAAAAATCTTTAAAAATCTTCTTCTCAAGAACAGCAAAGCCATGATTGGTCATATTTATATGGTAGCATCCTCAGATAGTGTACATTCAAATTTGTTCAAATCATGACACCCGGGGGTCGGGTGGGGCCACAATGGGCGATCAAAATTTTATATAGGAACACATAGTAAAAATTCTAAAAAAAAAAACAATTTGTTAAGAATAGCAAAGCCATGATTGGTCATATTTATATGGTAGCATCCTCAGATAGTGTACATGCAAATTTGTTCGAATCATGACCCCGGGGGTCGGGTGGGGCCACAATGGGCAATCAAAGTTTTACATTGGAACACATAGTAAAAATCTTTAAAAAAAACAATTTGTTAAGAATAGCAAAGCCATGATTGGTCATATTTATATGGAAGCATTCTTAGATAGTGTACATTCAAGTTTGTTCAAACATGACCCCTGGGGGTCGGGTGGGGCCACAATGGGTGATCAAAGTTTTACATAGGAATACATAGGTTAAATCTTTAAAAATCTTCTACTCAAGAACAGCAAAGCCATGATTGGTCATATTTAAACGGAAGCATCCTCAGATAATGTAGATTCAAATTTGTTCAATTCATGACACCCCCCCCCCCCAACCACTTTTATATTTAAACTTTTCAACCTTTCAAGATTGAAGTGATTTCTGCTTTTTCATAGTCATAGTGCTCAGGTGAGCGATGTGGCCCCTGGGCCTCTTGTCTTAACACAGTGTCATAGGATTGACGTCATAGTTGAGCGGTTGAGACGTCATAGCTTAGAAGTTGTGTCATTGAAAACATTACATAGCAAGGATTTTAGCAATATATTTGGGAAGAAATTTGCAGTTTTAGCTCTATCAAGATGCTTAGTTACTATTTCTATCTTATGACAGGCCAGAAATTATTTTTTACTTACTTTGATATCCTTTCACACTGTGAAAGAATATTATTTTTGGTATCCTTTCACACTGTGAGAGAATATCACTTTTATTCAATAAATAAATCACAGTATTTCACTGTTGAAAATGTAATAAATGTACATATTTCACAAAAATTTTCCTTTTTGTTGAATTTATGTAATGCTTCTTCACAATATCCCTATAATCTCATACTGTGTGTTCAAGAAACCTAGTTATCTAGCATAGCAGCAGGCTAGCTGCAATGATCTTGAATGCAGCCCTGATCATATGAAAGAATAAAGTTCAACAATATGTCAATTCAAAAGTCAAGGACAATTCAAAAGTCAAGAACATCTGAATAGTGGTAGTTGAATATTGTAACATTGTGTATTAGAAAAGATTCATGCACTCTCTTCCAAAAAGTTAAGCTTTTTATTTCAAGAACAAAATAGAACTTACAAGGCCAGATGCAAAATTTATTATTCAAGAATCACATATACAAAGTAAGCAGACAGCTATAATAGAATGTACCAGTATACTGGTAAAAATACATTCAAAACTTGAGAGATTCTTTAAAAAATAAAAAAAGTTTGTTTAGTTAGTTACATTTTTTGCACAGTGTAAATTAGTGCAATGTTTTAAAATGTCTGGGAAAAATATTTTCTGTTACATGTTTGTTCAAATCATTTGTTATTGTAAAACCTTTTGTAGTTTTTAAACAGGGAATAGAATATAATCATTTAAACATAAATTATGCATATGTATTTACATGTACAATACATGATCAGATCCTTCAAAAATTCACAACAGTGTGAGATATATTGTTTCTTGTTCAACTTTTCTGTAGTCCTTGAGTTAAAAGTAGGACTCCCATAGTTGTGTGAATCGGTCCTTAAGGCTGTGGATTGACAGACCATTCTGGTTGAAGATGTGTACAGCTGACACTGCTATAGCACTGAGCAAGAACACTCCTCCAAAGTACAGAACCCTGGTCAAAAGCTGGAAAATATGTAAATACCGATAAGGGAATGGAAATATTGTCAGAACATGGGACTTGTACATTTTTTTTACAGATAAAATGGGGTTAATGATGTGATGTGTATTTTAGTTGAATTTTTATGATATGCAGTGCATAATGCTTAGTTCTGCAAATTTTCCATTTAAACACAAAAAAAGAGGCCCATGGGCCACATCGCTCACCTGAGTAGTTTTGGCCATGCTGTTCATTACCAGACTCCCCCCTTGTAATATTTATTGTGGCCCCACCCTCCCCCCAGGGGCCATGATTTGAACAATTTAGAATCTACACTATCCCAGGATGCTTCCACATAAGTTTCAGTTTTTCTGGTCCAGTGGTTCTTGAGAAGATTTTTAAAAAATTTTCCTATATATTTCAATGTAAAACTTGGGATTCCCCCTATTGTGGCCCCGCCCTATCCCCTGGGTCATGATTTGAACAATTTAGAGTGTACACTACTTGAGGATGCTTCCACATAAGTTTCAGCTTTTCTGGCCCAGTGGTTCTTGAGAAGAAGATTTTTAAAGATTTTTCCTATATATTTCAATGTAAAACTTGGATTCCCTATTGTGGCCCCGCCCTACCCCCGGGGGTCATGATTTTTACAATTTAGAATCTACACTATCCCAGGATGCTTCCACATAAGTTTCAGCTTTTCTGGCCCAGTGGTTCTTGAGAAGAAGATTTTTAAAGATTTTTCCTATATATTTCAATGTAAAACTTGGATTCCACATTGTGGCCCCGCCCTACCCCCGGGGGTCATGATTTGAACAATTTAGAATCTACACTACCCCAGGATGCTTCCATATAAGTTTCAGCTTTACTGGCCATGTGGTTCTTGAGAAGAAGATTTTTTAATGACCCCACCCTATTTTTGTCTTCTCTTGATTATCTCCCCTTGTGAGGGGACTTGGCCCTTCATTTTAACAATTTAAATTCCCCTTCACCCAAGGATGCTTTGTACCAAGTTTGGTCAAAATTGGCCCAGTGGTTCTTGAGAAGAAGTCAAAAATGTGAAAAGTTTACAGACGGATGGACAGACAGACAGATGGACGGACGGACGACGGACAAAATGTGATCAGAAAAGCTCACCTGAGCCGAAGCTAAAAAGCAAGATAGGATAACATTTGTTCAATGAACTACCTCATCCTGGTGCTTCCTCTTTGCTATACATTCATGGTATCTTGTTCTGGTAAAGGCAACCTATAAAGGGTATAAATTTATACACAGTAAAAATCACTGTGACAGTTCTAGTGTTCAATGCCAAACTTAGAACATATCTAAACGATTCACTATATACCCCAACTTCAAACAAGCTCAGTGCTCACCTGAGCACTTTGGTTAGAGAAAAGCAGAAATCAGTTCAGTATATTGAAAAGTTTAAATACCATATGGGTGAATTAAAAAAAAATGACCAAACGCATATTTATCAACCCACACTAAAAATACAGGCAATAAAAATAGATTTCTATGTCTCAGCATATGTCTTTTGGTAGTGTCTAACTACCTGCCAAATGTCTCGTTGATATCTCAATTAACAAAAAAGTTATGCCCAAAAATGATGCTAAAATTGTCAGGAGTGCAACACCTTTTTGTGACATTTTGAAATTTCAATATTTTTTGGAGATCTGTGAAATAAATAATAATGCTTTATGTTGAAAATAAAGACTTTCCTGATAATATTCAAAGTATTGAGCTTTAAATGTGGACTGTAGTAACTTTTGTTTAATCAAGTTGTGGTCATGGCTGATGTTTAAAAAAATGTTATACCGTGTCAGGAGTGCAACAGAAAAAATGAAGTGTTGCCAAAAAAACATCAATTGTAAAATTCTGAAAGAAAATTAAGACAAAAAAGAATTTTCGAAGTGTAAAACAATAACTGATATACATTTTAAAACTTAAAAATTTTATATAAATCACAAGCAGCATTAATGAGAGTCAAGTATATGTGCATACCCAATAATGTCAGGAGTGCAACATTTGATGTTTTGCTCCCAAGCATCAAAAAACTATTATCATTATATGATTTTCTGATTTTTATTTTGGAAAATAAAGACACAAAGAACATTTTTACTAAGTAGTTTTATCAATTACAGGATCTGGCTGTGCTTCGATATCAGATCTATATTTCTATGGTCAGGAGTGCAACACATTTTTTTAAAGATTCAAATTGTGTGTCAAAAAAACTTCTATTCATGCTTAGAAGTATTCATTAATTAATAATGATCTTTTTGTATAATTTAATACTAAATTATTAACAGTTTTATTATTAAACTCCTTCCTTTTTCAATTTTATCAATTCAGATGTGTTTTTATCTTTTTTGTGATTTTTTAATAAACGTTAAAAATAAACACACTAAAAAATTGTCATAAAATTCAAGTAATTCCTCCTCAACTTTACTGAAACAACAGAACAAGTTCTTATGTAATTTTCACTTCACAATTCTACTTTGAAGGCCCCAATGCTTTTAGTCAGGAGTGCAACAAATATGTTAGAATTATAAATCATCCAGTAAGAATAAAAAGAAAAAATGATGAATAGATTTTTTTTAGTGGGCTACTGTGTTTGTCCTCTAAAGGAAAATATGCTATAAAATATATTATATCTTCTAAATATACATTTAAGCTAGTTTTTTGGCATAAATAGGGAATAATTTCAGATGGAATGTGAATTTTAAATACTTTCATCTGTTTTAATACTGAAGTATTGGGTTATAAATATTGCACAATTTCATTACCACTTGATGTTGCCAACACTTTATGAATTTTTGTGTTATAGGTTTTAATTTTAAATTTTACTGCTGTCAGGAGTGCAACAAAACTGCTTTATAATTACCAATGCTTTTTAACTATCTTTACTAAAAGATAAGTTGAAAAAAAAATGTTTGATACTATTTGATGTTCAAAGCACTATGTCTATCAACAAATTTCAGAAATATTACAGTCAATTCAGGGAATAGTTTTCATCATTTCACATATAGTTTTAAATACAATTTATATATATTACACTTTGCAAATAATCATGTTTTAAGGTCTTCAAAATATGAAAAACCTGCCGTAAAAGATGAAAAATATCAAAACGACAAATTGATTTACAAAGTAAGAATGGGTTATTGTGTGTTATAATTTTTAAAACAATGTTAAATAAAATACATATCAGATGTCAGGAATGCAACACAATAATGTAACATAGGGTCACTTCAAAATCTAGTATTTTTTGTAAGAGAACTTGTATATAAAAATTCTTGTTTGGCTTAGATTTAAAGAATTGACTTGAATGGACAAAAAAGTGACTTTTGAGGAATTTTATTGCTTCATATTTTTTTCATATTAAAACTTTTCAAACCAGAATTGAAAAAAAAATGTAAAATAACAATCAAAAGCCAATTTTTGTCACATATACAAGAGGAGATACTCAATCAAGGTCTAGATTTAATCATCTATACCCCTGTTACCATTCTGAAACATAAAAAACTATAATTTCTTGTGATTATGTATTTTAGAAAGTCTTTTAAGGTATAATGATATTTTCTTTTTTCAAAAGAAATTTTACTAATAAAAAATCTGAAACTTTTTTGTCCAGTTGTCTATTATATTGCCACTTCAGGATTTTAAACTAGAATGCATGTGCAATATGATGATATACTAGTAAGTGAAAAATATGTTATAAGTAGTTGAAATTTTCCAAAAAAATTCAGTTTGGTGGTCATTTTTTTTTTAATTCACCCATATATAAGTGGTCCTACCCTTACCCCAGGTGGGGCAGGGGAGGGGGTCATGATTAACAAATTCAATCTACACTAACTGAAAATGCTTCTGTTTGTAAATGACTAATCATGGCTTTAAAAGATTTTAATACATTTTCTCCGACATATTCCTATGTAAAACTTTGATCCTCTATTGTGGCCCCACCCTACACCCAGGGTCAAGATTTGACAAACTTGAATCTACACCACCTGAGGATGCTTCCATATACTGCTATAGATTCTTGTGTAAAACTTTGATCACCCATTGTGGCCCTACCATAGCACCAGGGGTCATGATTTAAACAAACTTAAATCCACACTATGTACTGGTAATGAAATTCTCTCATAAGTTTCATATCTTCTGGAATCTACACTACCAGAGGATGCTTACATATAAATATGATTAATCATACCTTTGCTGTTCATGAGGAAATTCTTAAAGATTTTCTGTCATTTATTTCTTTGCAAAACTTTCATCGCCCATTGTGGCCCAACCCTAACCCCGGGGGTCATAACTTGAATAAATTGAATCTAAACCTGAGGATCCTAGAGGAGAAGATTTTCAAAGATTTTTCTTAGGCCATCTTTAAAACAATGTTGCTTTGCCCTTTCCCAACTTGGATAAAAAATTGGGTCCATAGGTACATGTAGGTAGGGAATTTTTTTCCCTAGAAAATTTCAACATCAAAGCTGAATTTTCAATATACCGTAAATCTGGAAATTTTTACGTCGATTTATTTTTGCGAATTTGGGTCAAAAAGCTGTTGATTAATTTTTACGTTTCAAAATTTTGCGAATTGTCATTGGGGCTAAAATTAAATAGCACTTAAAATTTTCATAACACTTTATAAGTTATGCATGTACATGTACATACAATAAATCACGCATATACATACAATATTAAACGATGCCAATGTTCAATAATCTGATTATAAATTACCCATGTGCATACAATAAATTACGCATGTACATACAATATTAAACAATGTCACCGTTCATTAATCAGATAAAAATATTAGAAGAGGTAAAACATCTAAACTGTTTAAAGTTTTCTTACACTCTATTAAAATAATAGACACCAGCTGTCAGCAAAATTTCTGTTTACATTTTTTGTTGCTGATTTATTTTTAAGAAAAATATTTTTGCGAATGCACTGCATGCGCATATTTGCTAAAAATTTATCTACAGTAAAAATTTCCAGATATACGGTAAATTAAAATAAAATACTTGTTGACGGGATGAGAAAATTCTGGAATGAAGTTAAAAAACAATTATCATATCCTAGAGGTTAAAGGAGTTTCGAGTCCGGCCATTTTTAGCCAGCGGGAGAGATTAAAAAACAATTTTTTAAAGTAGCCTTATATATACTCCTATATAAAATTTTGATCACCAAATCCCCCCCCCCCCCATCATGATTTGAATCTACACTGTAATAAAACTCATTTAAGTTTCATCGTTTCTGGCTCAGTGGTTACTGATTTTTAAAATATGCCATTAAATTTTCACTAATTCTTAATTACTGCCCCTTGAAAAAAAGTGTGTGGCCCCTCCACCCAAGGATGCTTTGTGTCAAGTTTGGTTGAAATCGGCCCAGTGGTTCTTGAAAAGATGTCGAAAATGTGAAAAGTTTACAAACAACACATGACAGATGACACTTGACAGAATGATGCCAGTCATTCTTTGAAGCTCACTTGAGCCTTTGGCTCAGGTGAGCTAAAAGAGACAACTTGCAGGAGTATTTTAGAACTTTATCATAATGTGATTGTGGCGGATATGATAACACTGCTTTTTGCAGCATGCTAAATAATTATTTTCCATGGTCTGTATCACTGATCTCCCTTATGATGCTTTTTAGAGAATACAAATATCACAAGTTACAGAGTATATATATATATATATATATATATATATATATATATATATATATATCCATATATATATATATATATATATATATATATATATATATATAAATATATATATATATATATATATATATATATACTGTTCACGAATCCAATTTAATTAAAATTCTTAGATCTGTGCTGTAGTGTATAAGGCATAAATCTAAAAAGTCTGATTTTATTTAGATTGTTCATGATTCTTTAAAAGCTTGGCAATCTACCCCAATTCTAAAAATCCTGTTTGGCCCTGGGGTCATGAAACAAACTGAACTGAAACTCCAAATTTACAGATTAAGAAAAAGACTCTGGTGTTCCCATCTTTAAAAACATTATTCCATTTTGGACTGTTTGACCTTTACAATATTACAGGGCAATATACAGATAAAGTCAAAATTTTTCATGACCCGACCTGGATTTTTTTATCCTAGATCACTGCTCAAATGTATGTAAAATCCATGCATACATTTCTGTGTAGTCAAGTTCATTTACACACATAGAGCCAAAACTTAAAGCAATTACACAAAACATGCAACTTTAGAGAAATTAAAGGAATGAGACAAAGAGAAGTAATATGACCTTATAATAAATTATCCTACCATTGTGTATAGAGGCACCCAAGACTTGGGGAAAATAGTAAACAGCAAGTTATCTAACTTCTTCCTCATCAGGAATAATTTGGAGTTGACTGACTTCCTCATCTAAAAAAAATAAAAACTGTTTTTAACTTGACATCTTAAAAAAGACTTGATTGAAATCACTAACCTTTGAAAAGATCTCGATTGCAATTTCAAAGGACTATATTCGGTAAAGACCAATATTTGCCCCCCCCCCCCCCCCCCCAATCAAATTTTGACAGAGAAATCTCTAATTGCATTCTAAACCAAGAGGATATCTGCATACTTCAAAGCATTGAATATTTTCATCAGCCATGACACCATATGTTACATATGATGTCAGGAAAGTGACATAAATTCAAAATTTACCATGATTTATAGAGAAAAAGGTGTTTATCACGTCAATATTTTGAGTAAAATTCATTGAGCACAGGTCTGCTCCAAATCAATGTTTTGATATAATGTGTAGAATGATGATATCAATGAAATATGTGAATATTGTTATGAAGCAGGTTTGCACTCTATAAATTACTTTGTAAAAAATTGAAAAAATATTGTGCATTTTGACCATGCTCTTTCTGTAAAATAACATTATTTCAGATTATTAATATATAATATATATGCAAATCATCACATCTCAAGAAATTTTCAAAATCACACTTTTATGGGGGCAAAAATATGCATATAACGCATATATATAGCTCTTGAAAAAAGCCCTCATTATAGCCAAAAGCTTAGTTTCAAAATATATGATAAAAATACCTCAACATAGTTGTACATGGCCAGATCACAAATAGCATGATCATCCACCTTCCTAAACTCTGAGTACGCTGGTAAGGCCTTGGCTAAAATATGAAAGATACTTAATGAGAACTAGTACACCTGGTAATGTGCATAAAAATAATATAAAATGATAAGCCTCACATAGCAACTAAGAAAATGAAGTTTTAGAAAGTTTTTAAACAACAAAGAAGAATTTCTTTAATCCTTACAGAAGTCATCATTGTATTTGTCCAGCATCTCATCCAACACAATACAGTCCTCAAATCCCTGTATAACATAAATCAATGGTGATACTTAGCACATTGTCAAAAAACTTTAAAAAAAATTTTAACTTAAGGATATCCAATCCTCAGCCAGGAAGGATGACTCTTAAATTTTCAATTATTCTGATTTTCAGAACCTGAGGATCGGACTACCTTAAAAGTAGCTAGCTCATTTTTATTTCATAAGGAAAAACTTCAATAAAACTATGTGACTGTGCAGATTATAACTGAAAATTTTTATTACAGAGTGTATTTTACTAGCTAGAACATTGATGACAGTGTTGGTAATTTTAACATCCATATCAAATCCATAACATGTTGTTGTACAGGCCCCTCAGGAAGCATGCAACCTCAGTTTTTTTTTTGTTTTTTTTTGGGGGGGGTCAGAAAGGTCCTAAGATGTTATTATTAAGGGGGCACAGGAATAAAGTAGTTATGTTTTCTATAGTATAATACTAAATATCAGCAAAATTATTGGGGCATATTTACAATTTCATGTACTTCTGAAGTCGATGGCCTCAATCCAGTTTATAAACAGTAGGGCTACATATCAGTAACTGCACTCCCTGGGATTTCATTTATATAATTTACTTACATCATTGGCATGTTTTTATTATTTCCATAGAAATTTTTAAACACATATCAAAAAAATTATTATGGGTAAGTTATCTCCTAAATTTAGAAAAATATTTATAAAATTTTGTACTGCAAATCATCATCTGCTAGTAGAGACTGGGAAATGGTATGGTATACCACTGTGAGATAGAATCTGTACACTTTGTAATAATACTCAAACTGCTGATGAATTTCATTATATCTTAGAATGTAAAACTTAAGCTTATGTAAGAAAAAAGTACCTGGGCAATTATTATTTCCACAGACCGAATGTTAGTAAATTCATAGAACTAATGTCAACTAAAAACGAAAAAATGTTGAAAAAACTATGTATGTTTATCCTAAAAATTTATGATGCTGTCTGTCCTCCTTGATATATTTCCCCCTCTCTTATTTATTTTCTTTTTCAATCATCTGTCATGTTTTTTTTTTGTTTTTGTATATGTACCCCTGACCAGTTTGTATGTGATGTATATATGTTATTAATGAACCCCATGTACCAATATTTTGGTTTGGGTGAATAAATTGAACTTGAACTTAAGAGAATTAAGACTAGAGACATAATCATTATGGTGAAGAGTAAATCAACTAGAAAACTGACCAGTCAGCAAGGGCCCTGCACAGGAATAGAAATCTAGGGATGCAACTTAAAAGATGAGAATTTGACTTAGAAAAAAATTTAAAAGAAATTTAGAAATATATGAAGAATATGAAACAGCACCTGTATTTATAAAATTTGGATATAATTCTTAAATGACAAATGAGATTATCCTACTACCTGTTAGAAATTAAAAAGTATCCTTGTATTAATATGAGGGAGTAAAATATCATATAATAATTTAATCAAATATATTTAAACCAGCTATGAAGCATGCATTTCACAAAATGCCAGCCTTTGGTGAATGCAATCATCACCCAGGCTTTACCTTAACTTCAAAACAAGCATCACTTGCAAACAGAGATGTTAATTAATCTTACTTTGACAACTAAAGATATGCACAGGATTTTTCTACAGCATTCAAGATAATTAATCCCAAAGGATTAATTGCACTGCTTCTTAATCCTTTTATTGAAGTTTACAATCTTTTATTCTAAGTTTACAATAAGAACATTTTTAGCAATGATAGAATGAAGCTATCACTACCAACCTATCATATTAAATTTTTTTATTAATTCCCTATGAAAATTTTATTTCAATAAAATGTTTATTTTAACAGAAAAAAGTATGGACATTATAAAAACCACCCTTTTGTTAATGTAAACATCATCCATGATTGACCTTAACTTCAAAATAAACATCACTTGCAGACAAAGGTGTTAATTAATATCAATGTGACAAATAGATATAAAACAACAGCAGATGAGTTATTCATTCTTAAATAAAGTTAGGAATCTACCCCAACACCCAGCTCCAAAGTGGATGAAATTCAGAATTAAAATAAGTCTTACTGCCTATTCAACAAACATACCAAATTTTAACTTTAGGACCATTAAAAAAAATTACTAGAAAAAAAAAATTGCAGATGGAAGAATGGCATACAGATTACTCTAAGGCACCCACAAATCCTTGTGGGTCTTAAATATCAAATAACATTTCAAGATAACAAACTCATAATGCATCGACAATATCAGTTGATGTCTAAGAAAAGGTTGCTCCCATCTCTACATACTACATGCATGGACTAGAAATAAAATGATGTATGAGAAACGAAGAAGTACATATATGTAACCTAAATTCATTGACCTGAATGGAGATTGATAAACTTTTGTTAAGACTAAAGCCAATCCCTGCCCTGTAGGTCCTCACTATATTTATTACAATCTTTCATGGACAAAGGACTGCTATACAGCTAATAGACACAGTTTTTGGTATAAGACACCTGCAAATCCTTGGGGTACCTTATAAATGTACATGTACTTTTAATATTACAGCAACATGCATAATGGATGTACTTAATATCAAAGTAATGCATATGACTGTACTTGCTGCTTTATAGCAATGAGTATTACTTTTACATACAGCATTCATTCCTTGTCCATAAAATGGTACCATAGCATGGGCTGCGTCCCCCATTATCACTCCCTTATCTTTGACATGGTAAGGTGAACACTGCAGTAAAACATTTAAAATAGCTTTAAAAATTGTTCATCAATACTGACTGGCAAAAAAAATTAATATAACTTTTATCAATATTAATATTTTTCTCCTGAATATCAAACCATATTCATCACCAAAAGAGTCCATAATTGTATAATATTCACCTGCACCTGACCTTCCAAGTGAATATAACGTCATTTTTTTTTTAAATTGGTCCAATAATAGATCAGTAACTTCAAAATTGATACAATTGGTTATGTTTATATTTGTGGTACAATGAAATTCTGCATTTAGCTATATATAGGCCTTCAGCAGACATTACCAAGACAGATTGTGAGGATTGCTTTGATTATTTGTATCATTTAATCATTGAATCATATAATTAAACAATTATTGCTGATTTTTGGTCAAGATGATAATGAAGCAGCCCTCAAAGTACAATATTCACCTCACCATTCAGGCTCCATGAATATCATACTCCTTGGTTAGCTAAATAATCACTGTAATGACCCCAAAAACAACAATATTATTGTATAATATTTATTCTTACTTGCCTTTATAGAAACCATAGGTAAGGGTTTACTGGACATGTATATCTGTTTTAGAGTCTCCCTGTATTAAGGAAAGAAAAATATTTAAAAATACACTGAAAATCAAACTATTCAAAGAAAATATGAGTACTTGATAATACTATCATAATATTATTTTGCATTATCTGTATTATAGTCTATCAAAAAATTATTATTTTACTACACTGATCCCCTTACAACTTTGTTGCTGGGGGATAAAACTGATAAATGCACTAGAATTTAATGATAAGTAATATTTGAGTTAGTGATAAACATATTTACTCTCCCATCAATGGAATGGCATCAGGAAATTTATCTCTGAAGAACCTCATGAGATCGTCCTCAGTTTTAATACTGGCAAATATGTCAAATGGCATAAAAAGTGTGCAGGTAAAGGACTTATCCAGATTTGGCAGAGCAATCATCATGTACTCATTTCGAGGCCAAATGTGTAAGTAGTTAACCTCCATCTGAAACTGTACACACACAAAATTACCATTTTAAGGCTTCTTTCATGTACAAAACATATGCTGTACTACCAGTAAAACACTGCTATATCTAAGTGCCAGGGACTGACTATTTTGAATTGTTATAAACGAAATTTGTTATATCTATTAAGTTCACAATACGTTTTAAAACCAATGAAAAAATGAAAATCCCTTAATGTTAACATGAATTTGTTATAAACGTGTCCATCATAAACGTGTTTTACTGTATGTATAAAACATTACTGCATTGTACATTAAATGAAGTTTGCACAGTCATGTGTCAAGTCTAAATCTAGCTTATTTTGTGAGCCATAACTTTCCTGGTTTTCCAACAGCTTGGAAGCTCCAGTCTTAATTACTTAATGCAAACCATATGCCTGTAATATACAACTGTGATTCCAATATATTTGAAAATAAAATGAAAAATAATCAAATTACTTCATCTTTAGGAGAGGGAGGGATGGTTAATTCCATATAACCATGAGGAATGTATTCTTGTTGGAAATCTAATAGTGTGGCTTTCATCATTTCTTTACGGACAGCAGAAAATGCTCCATCATTTCCCACAATTAAGTCAACCTTGTTCTGAACATTTTTCCCTTCTTTGCTGAAACAGTATCAAACGAAAGGCCCATGGACCATAATGCTCACCTGAGTCACTCTGTCCTGCTGTTCTTCATAGCAGATTTTTTTTTAATTTCCCTTTTCAATTTTTATAAAAATTTTGACTCCATATTGTGGACCAAAATCTAGCCCTTAGAGATGATGTAATCAAAGTTGAATCCACAAAACATTGGGATGCTTCAATATCAATACAATCAACATGGCCCTGCAGTTATGGAGGAGATTTTTTCTTGTACACATGCATTATGTAAATTGAATCTTTGATTTAAGCTCAACCCTAACCCCCAGGGTTCACAAGTTAAAAAAAAACAAAAAATAAAACAAAACAAAACTAATTTCACACAACAAAGGAGGTAGTGAAATATCAAGTCTCAACCAGAAGTCAAAAGCAGGGCCTCTGGTGTATGTGCCAGCACTGTAACCAATAAGCTATTGAGACCTAATATACTGACTGACTTTCATATACCTGTAAACCTGGTGACACATTCCCCCCTCTATATAGAAATTTGTCCCAGAATTCTATGAGTTAAGCAAACGCTGAAAAGGCATGTTCTTATGGAATAGTGGATTTTGTACGTTGGGTGTCAATGCCTTGGGTGGTGAAAAATCAAGTCTCAAGCAGGACTCGAACCCAAGGCCTCTACATACCCTGCAAGCGCTCTACCACAAAGCTATTGAAACATGGTATATTAACTGACTTTTATACACCTGAAACCGGGTAACATTAATGATTTAGTGTGGTCTTGCCACTCTTGAAATGATATCTTCTTACATATATATAATCCCTTTTAAAACTCTGATCTCTATCGTAGCCTCAACCTATTCCCTAAGGCCATGATCTGAAAAAAACTAGAATCTTTAATACCTGAGGATGCTTACATATCATTATGAAAAATAATGGCTTTGCTGTTCATTAAAAAAGAATTTTTATTTTTTCCTACATGTACATGTATATATTCTTATAACTTTTTTCATCTATTGTTCCCCGGTCCCACCCCCAGGTCATGATTGAACAAACTGGAATCTGCACTACCAGAGGATGCTTTGTTATAAATACATGTATAATTAATCATGGCTTTGATGTTCTAGAGGAGAAAATTTTAAGTTTTTTCCCCTATATAAATCTATGTAACATTTTGATCACCTACTTGGTAGCCAAACACTACTGGGCTACGATTAGAACAAACTTGAATCTATACCACACGAGGATGCTTCCATATACATATGAGTATTCATGGCTTTGCTGTTCTTGAGAAAATTTTAAAGATTTTTTTTAAATATATATACTCCTTTGTAAAACTTTGATCTTTTGAGCCCCCTCAACCCCCCTCCGGAGGCCAAGATTTGAACAAATTTGAATCTACACTACCTGAGAATACTTCCATATAAATATGGATTATCATGATTTTTCTGTTCTTAAAAAGTACATTTTTAAAGATTTTTTCTATATATTTCTCTGTAAAACTTTGATCTCCTATTATGGCCCCACCCTACCCCTAGGGTCATGAGCTGAACACACTAGAATCTATACTATGTTTTGAAGCTTTCACTTAAGTTCCATCTTTTCTTGCCCAGTGGATCTTGAGCAGAAGATAGGGCCCTGTGGTTATGGAGGAAAGGATGAAATTGTGAAAAGTTTCAGATGACAATGACAACAACAGATAATATTTTGATTAGAAAAGCTCACTCCAGCCTTTGGCTCAGGTGAGCAAAATTGTCAATGTTAATTTAATATCTGTTATTCTAAAACTGCTGCTGGCAGAATTTATATTAAAATTGTAGCAATTAATAATTTCTTAAAACATTATTAAAATCTGTCTAAATCTGAGAAATCTGTGTACCAGTCTGATATATAAATAGAGTAGACTGAAATAAGATTTGGTATAATCAACTATTCTGCATAAAGATATTAATTTACCAAAGGAAAACAATTGTCATCATCAGGGACTGGGTTGCTCTGGTGTCAAGATCTTATTTTTTTTAAATACTGAATCAAACACTTTATATAGAACTGTACACACTGTTTCTGGTAGATTTTTGTACTGTTTAGAAAAGATTATGCCTTTAAATAAGACTTATGCCTATACGAATGAAACATGCTCATAAATAAGACTTATGATGGTACATTAAACTCTGTTATTCATGACTATAAATCAGACATGCTATAAAAGAATTTATCAAAACTGCAGGAAAATAAGCTTTTAGAAATATTTCAGAATTTCTTTTTTTAGTAACCATTGAAATGCCATTCAACAAAATCAAAAACTAAAACTTAGAATTTGCATCTTAGTGTCACCCACATGTACTTGTATGGAAAGTTTTATTGAAATCTGACCAAAGCAGTAGAAGGAGTAGCCTTTGAAAGTACTCTACTTGTGTACCCAGTTATATTGAAATCAGACTAAAACTATAAGAGGAGTAGCATTTTGAAAGAATTTCACAGAAATTTCTATTTTTAGTAACCATGGCATCCCCATGCATTCATCAAAATCAAAACCAGATATATAGAATTATATGTTTCTAAGTGTAGTGTTATTGTTGACTAAGTTATATTGAAATTGGACCAAAACTGTAGGAGGAGGAGCATTTTTAAAAAATTGTTTTCAGACAAGCAAACAGCTAGATGGACGACGGACACCTTACAGTTGCATAAGCTCTTCTGCTCTCTGACCAGTAGAGCTAAAAATACATTCCTTTGAGTTCTAATTATATTTTGTCAAATGATAGATGACCAGAAAATATTGATATATATAAATATAATCCCTCTCCACTATCAAACAAATCTACCTTCAGTTCTATATCTAATTCTCACTTTATAAATTCCACTTCACCAGTTGTGAAGTCACATCTCACAAGTTTGTGTTCAAAATGACAGGTTACATTGGGATTTTCTTCAGCAGCTGCAAAAGATTTCATTTAAATAAAAGTAAGTCAGGACATGTGACTCATGCTTATAAATCACACTCACGCTTATAAATCACTCTCATGCTTATAAATCAGACATATGTCTTTAAATTCCACTTGCCTAGGATTCAGACTTATGCCCATAAATCACACTTGTGGTTATTAATGCCTATAATAAGACTGCCACCCATGCCTATATATAGATATGCCTATTAAACAGATTTGCCTATTAATCAAAGTTCAGGGCTGATTTTATCTAACTATAAGGTTCTCGTGCAACAAAAATATGCTTCGACTTTTATGTAAACTTATAAAATAATGTAACATATGAATCTGCTATCCCATTCTAAATGTTATTTTTAAAAATTATTAAGAATAAAAAGTACCTGTTAGCAGCACTTCATTCAGTCTCCTTCTATCCACTGACATGATGTACTGAAAAGATGATGCAGGTTATCTCCCTTGTAACAATGCATTTATCATGATCATTTTCCTGTTTGCCATTAATCAATGCTTTTGAAGTAGTAATATCCTATTTAAGTGATGAATATTTATTTCAGTGCCACCAAATGGTCACTGCCAATGTAAAAACTTACAAATATGTACACAAGCATACAAATTCACAAAATTCAGTATTTAGTACCGGTACATTAATTGAATTATAAAAGTAAAAAGTTTAACATAATTTTATTAGGCTAAGTAAAATTCAAACATTTTTTTTTTCTTTTTCTGAGTCTTGTAAATAGATATACAAGGAAAAAATTAAAGGAAAGCACAACAATGTATTAAATAAAATGATATGATTAATGGAGCCATGGCTCCATTACTTTTAAGGAATGGAGCGCTAATCGTACATTAATCCTTACTTAGATAATTTATAAAAATGCAAGATATCCCACCTGGTCCTCTTTACCATAAAGGATCGGACTCCTGGATCCATCAACTCCATGAATCATTCGAGCATGCATGGGAATTCCATTTTTTAAGACATCCTCTTCTAGTCCTACCATTCGTAAGGCCGTTCGACCACGTGTAGAGAGAGCCAAGTTTATGCTCCGCCCCTTCACATGTTCAGCTTTCCTGATATCTTGTTAAAGAAATTATATGAACATTCAAGTCTGACAAAATCAGAAAGACTAAACATTTGTATTAATAAATTTAATAAAGTGATTAGATTTTTTTTACTTGGATTGAATTAAATATGAATTGAAGGCTACCCTCTGTAATACTTTTACATGCGTAATATTAAAATGCAAGGTGTTTAAATATGTATTAAAACCAGAAGTCTCTAACAAGACTGTAGCTCTACTGGTTTGTACTTATAACAAAGGAGGAGAAAAGTACAGATGTACCACTTAAACTGAAAATATGCCAACACCAATTGATCCCTGGTTAAGTCTCCTTGTGAACTGTAAATTCTATTAAAAACAATATAACAAGAGGCCCAAGGGCCTTGAATCACTCTTCTGATAAACTGTACAACCTATCACTTCTATTTGAAGCCTCTAAGTATCCTGTATACATGTATTTAGATATAGCCTTGAAATTCCAAAGGTAGGTCATCATGACCTACATTTTAGATGAAACACTCCAAGAACCCAAGATGATTCTAAACCAATTAGTACATGAGAGTAGGTCATGATGACCTACTTATCACTTGTCATTCTCTGAGTACCCATGATGCATCAACTAAATTTGATGATTCTAGGCCAATTAATACCTAAAATATTTTTAAAATTATAACCATAAAATTTCAAAAGTAGGTCACAGTGACCTCATTTCAGATGACATACTTCGAGGACCCAAGATGCATCAACTGACAAAGTTTGATGATTCTAAGCCAATAAGTACCTGATATATTTAAATAAAGCCAAAAAATTTCAAAAGAAGGTCACAGTGACCTACATTTCAGTCAACTTACTCCGAGGACCCAAGATGCATCAACTAACAAAGTTTGATGATTCTAAGCTAATTAGTACCCAAAATATTTTATTATAGTCATATAAATTGAAAAATACGTCACAGTGACCTACTTTTCAGTAGACCTACTCCGAGGACCCAAGATGCATCAACTGACAAAGTTTGATGATTTTAAGCCAAACAGTACCCAAAAATATTAAATACAGCTATAAAATTTCAAAAATAGGTCACGTTGACCTACTTTTCAGTAGACGTACTCCAAGGACCCAAGATGCATCAACTGACAAAGTTTGATGATTCTAAGCCAATAAGTACCTGAAAAAATATTAAATACAGCTATTAAATTTCAAAAGTAGGTCAAGGTGACTTACTTTTCAGAAGACCCAAGATGCGTCAACTGACAAAGTGTGATGATTCTAAGCTAATTAGCACCTGAAATAATTCATTATAGCCATATCAATTGAAAAGTAGGTCATGGTGACCTACTTTTCAGTAGACGTACTCCGAGGACCCGAAATGCATCAACTGACAAAGTTTGATGATTCTAAGCCAATTAGTACCCGAAATATTTAATTATAGTCATATAAATTGAAAAGTAGGTCATGGTGACCTACTTTTCAATCAATTTACTCCGAGGACCCAAGATACATCAACTGACAAATTTTGATGATTCTAAGCCAAATAGTACCCAAAATATTTAAATATAGCCATAATATTTCAAAAATAAGTCAAGGTGACCTACTTTTCAGTTCATGTTTTTTCAAGGACCCAAGATGCATCAACTTACAAACTTTTATAATCATAGGCCTTAAAATTTCCATATTATGCCTTGAAAACGCTTTGAAATCGAATGCCTGCAAAGTTCAAAAAAGTAGGTCACTGTGACCTACTTTTTAATAAATATGTTTTATGGCCCCAAGATGCATCACAGGGTTCGACACTAACTTTTTTAGGCTTTAGTCCGGCCGGACTAGTGCTTCTTTACTTTTACTAGTCCGCAAGCAATTTTACGAGTCCGTCAAAAAAAGGAAACATCAATGTTTTGTAACATTAATTTAAAAACAAACATTTCAATATACGTTTTTATACTTTTTTTAAAATAAACAAAGCATTTATGTGAAATGGTTTATTCCACAGCACAGATTTGTTGAAATCTCACGATCAACAAGTACGATCGTATTCCCGATCTCATTCTTTTTATCTTTACATTACATCCAAAATGTCTGACATCTTTCTTTTATGTGTCATATAAATTATAATCGCTTAAATGTTTTACTTCATATCAATCAGTCGAAATATTAAGCGCTGAGTCGAAATTTTAGTAACTACCCGCCAAGAAGGTAGAAAGCTAAAAATAAATGTGGGGTTTTCCAGTAAAAGTTGTAGAGAATCGGACATTGCAGGGCTCGACATTAACGCTTGTCCGCTTGTCCGGTACCAGTGAAAAAAAATTACGGACAAGTGAATATTGCTGGACACTTGTCCGATAGGACAAGTGCATTTTAATGTGAAGAAGTCTCCAAATAATAAAAAGAACAACTGTTGAGTATTTAGTTTAGTGTTTACCGCTGCTTTAAAGACAGAAACAGTACATAAAAACCAAACTTCCATCCCGATATGGATTGCTATGTAATAGAGTTGATACTCGATCGGGATCGATGTTCACTAATTGCATACTACTGCAAAGGCATGGAACTTATGAAGTTCGGATTCTGTTTTATGTTGACAGCATTTAAGTTGTCAGGACAGAGAGTCTATATAAAATTTTGATTTGTGTGTTTGTTGTATTTATAAATTACATCACGCACATGTCATGGACTTTATTTTAGTTTTTCAGTTGAAAGGATTAGATCTTTCTTGAAATATTTTCGGACAAGTGAAGTTGAAGTTCGGACAAGTAAATGTCTTGGTCACTTGTCCGAATGGACAAGTAGGGAAAAAAGTTAATGTCGAGCCCTGCATTGGTAAATTATTCATATTGTTTTCCAGGAATTTTTATTGGTTCGTTTGGACTAATTAGCCGCAGATTTTATTAGTCCAAATGAAAATGTATTAGTCTGAGACTAACGGACTAACGTTAGTGTCGAACCCTGCATCATCTTACAAGATTTAATGATTCTAAACCTCTCAGTATTTGAATTAATGACCTTAATTGTTTTAAAAAGATTAGCCATAAAATTCAAAAAGTAGGTCAAGGTGACCTACTTTATAGTTGACGTACTCCAAGGACCCAAGATGCATCAACTGACAAAGTTTGATGATCATAGGCCTTAAATTGTTCAAAATATGCCTCTAAATCATTTTGAAAAAGAATGGCCACAAAATTTGAAATGTAGGTCACCGTGACCTACTTTTGAGTCAACATGATATGAGGTCCTTAAATGCATCAACTGACAAGATTTGATGATCCTAGTCCTTATAGTAAGCAAAATATCAACATTTTAATAAAATGTAATTTTTGGTCAACTTTGAAGTGACCTTGAGATCAAACCCTTTGCCCCAGGGTGAAGCCTTGAAGAATTTTTAATCTACAACATATCCTCACCCTTTTGTGTAAGTTTGGTGATAATCTGCCCAGTGGTTCTTGAGAAGAAGATTTTTTAGCAACCAGTACTTTTGTTTCTACTTTCCTAATTATCTCCCCTTGTTTAAGGGTCACAACCCTAGTTTTAGTATAAATGGAAGCCCTTGGGCCAAGGATACCTTGTGACAAATTTGACAATAATTGGCCAAGGGGTTCTTGAGTTATGGCCCATATTCTAAAAAGTTTACGCACACTGCACAAATGGCCATAGCATTAGCTCTTTGAGCCTTTGGCTTAGAAGAGCTAAAAATATAGGAGGAGAAGGGTTTTGAAAGAATTTCATAGAAATTTCTATTTGTAGTTACCATGGCAACAATGGCAACAATATTTGTCAAAATCATAAACCTTTTCATTGAATTATGTATCTTTAGTTAGTGTAATCTATTTGATGACCTTTTTATACCATTGCAAAAATGTTTCTTGAAATCAAAAACTGATAGAAGTACATGTATGTATCGTAAAATCCACCAGTGACGTCACTCTTTTGTTTGAGCGCTCCATTATTTTTTAGGAATGGAGAATTGCAAATTACATTGAAAACAGAATTTGTTATGTTCCTATTCCTTCCCGTACCTCTACCAAGGAAAGAACTTTTTATTTTCACACAAAGAAAATAAATGTGGCACTGTTGAGAATCGAACCTGGTACCTTCACCTTCATAGTCAGATATTCATCTCACTACACTATCGAAGCTGTTGATTGACAGTGGATTTAAATAACTTCAGTACACTTTTTTTGCCTTACTTTCTCTCTATGTATAAATAAATACTACGAATATGGTCAATGTATATTTAGAGTGTATCTTATAAATATTTTTTATTATATATTAACAAACAAGCATTTTAAAAGGTGGATTTTATGTGGGTTTATATACTCGTAGCGCTCCATTCCTTAGAAGCAATGGGCCTCGGCCCCTTCGGGCCCATGGCTCCATTACTTTTAAGGAATGGAGCGCTAATCGTACATTAATCCTTACTTAGAGTTGTCTACTTGTGTAATAAGTTTTATTGACATAGGACTAAAACTGTATGAAGGGTTGCATTTTGAAAAATTGTTTATATTACAGATAAGTTACAGCTTAACATCACATAAGTTCCTCTGGTCTCTGACCATAGAGTTAAACAAGAGGCCCATGGGCCACAATGCTCACCTGAGTCACCTCTTCAGAAGATTTGCTTTGACCTAGCCTTCAGGGCCATGTTTTGTACAAACTACTAAAATAACACAACCGGATGATGTTTGAATATTAATGCCGTAAATCTGGAAATTTTTTCTGTAGATAAATTTTTAGCAAATTTGCGCATGCAATACATTCGCAAAAATATTTTCCTTAAAAATAAATCAACAACAAAAAATGTTTTTATCTAAAGATTACTTAAAGATTACATTGTTATATATATTTTATGTACATGTTTGATTTATGAAAATGTTATGAAAACTTTCAACACTTTGGATGATTTATCTTTTCTAATATTTTTATCTGATTATTGAACGTTGGCATAGTTTAATATTGTATATTTATTCGTAATTTTATTATTGTATGTACAAGCATAACTTACAATTGTTTAAGAATTTCAAGAGCTTTTTATATTTTAGTTCAAATGACGATTCGCAAAAATATTAAACGTAAATATTAATCAACAGACTTTTGACCCAGATTCGCAAAAATAATACCGACGTAAAAATTTCCAGATTTACGGTATGTTTAATCTAGACAATGTTGTTCTTTTCAAGAAGATATTTTCCAGATTTTTATCTTTGATTCTCTATTGAGGCTTTACCCTCCTCCCCCCCCCCCCCCCCCCCCCCAGGGGTTATAAACTTGAATCTACATGACCTGACAATATTTGCTATTAATATCACTAACCATGGCCCTATTGTTCATGAATGGAAGATTTTGTAAGATTTTTTTCATATATATTTCCATGTAAAACTTTCATCCCCTATTGGGGCCCACCCTACTCCCAGGGACCATGGTTTGTACAAACTTGAATCTTCCTTAAGTCAGGAAGCTTTCAGCTTCATCTATTTTGGCCTTGTGGCTCTTGAGATGAAGATTTTTCACAACACCTATTATTTGAACAAAATTGAATCATCTTTTCCCAAGGCTACGCTGCCAAATTTGGTTGCAAGTGGCCTGGTGCTCTGGAGAAGATGAAATTGTGAAATGTTTAGGACAATGACAACAGACAATGGACAAATTTTGATAGAAAAACCCACTTGAGCTTTAGGGTCAGGTGAGCTAATAATATTAAAATTACACACCATCTCTCCTCTCATACACATCAACCTTATAGTTCCTCTTGGCCAGAAAACAGGCATTCAGTGCACCAACCTTTAAAGAAAAAAACAATTTATGCAAAATTGGGTATTTTTTGACAATGAACTCATAATATCAACATAAAAATTGTGTCAACCTTAGGCCAAAATTAAAAAAATTGTTTGTTTGCCCTTTTCCGACCCAGATTGTTAACAATGGGTAGGTGGGTAGAAAAATATTTTATTTTTTTTTCTTCTTAAAATTTTAAGAAGCTTAAGGGCTACAATGCTCACTGCAGGGATGGGGTCAATCACTTTAAAAAGTAATTAATTAAATTACAATTACTTTGACTTTTTCTTCAATTAAATTACAATTAAATTACAGGCTTTCTAAGACATGTAATTAATTAAATTACAATTACTTTGCAAAAGTAATTAATTAAATTACAAATTACATTTTTAATTTTTTGGAAAATTTTTATAATCCTTGTCAATGAATATACAGAACTTCATTTATTTGTATATAAGCTCAGCCTCTGCACAAACAGTACAAGAAATAATATGCTATAGGCATTGTGTATCATTCTGGTTTAATTTATAACATTTATTTACAAAACAATAAGAATCTCCTTAAAGAACTATCCGAGATCAGTTTGATGCAGTTTCCACCACACAAAACCTACATATACACAAATTGCATGGCTTATGATATTTGATTGAAAGTGAGTATTTCAATAGAGTAAAATGAGTCACAACTGTAACCTCTCAAATTAAGTATTTCCTTTGAAGGTAACCTGAACATCCTAAATTGCTATGTATGTTGAACAATTTTACTTCATAAATCAGAATTGTACAGATAGAAAATTCATTCATAAAAATCTGTTTAGATGTTAAAATAATTATCAAATAAAAAGTTTTTCTTTTCTAAAGCTAGCGGAGCATTTTAAATTGAAATAATTATCTCCATTGTCTTTGTCTTCTAAATCATGGAATGAATATCTCTTTAGAGGAGTTGATTTGTTTTGATTGCAATTTAAAGCTGTGATTTGGAGAGCAATTATCTCTTCCCAACAAGAGAGAACTTTATTAATGACACACACCTTCTTTTTCTTTATTATTGATCAAACAACGAAGATTGAAATATAATAAATGTGTGTTTCATGGCTGAATAGACCTAAGAAGGGTGGTTCAAAATTCATATTTATAAACATAGATCAAAAAATTCAAAATTTACATAATGATTAGAAAGAAACTAGTTTATTATTATCAAGCCAATCATTTAATTATTTTTTTGTAAGCATTAACCTAAGATTTTGTATAATTGAAGGATTGAGGATATGTTTATCAATAAAATAAGAACCAGTAAAATTGGGAGGTAGTGGTGATGATATATCATGAATATATCATGAATGTGTATTATATAAAGTAATTGAATGTAATTGAAAAAGTAATTGAAATTACATGGTATTTTTTCAGTATAATTAATTAAATTACAATTACAAGTAATTGAAAAAATGTTCAATTACAAATTACTTCCAATTACTTCAAAAAATGTAATTAATTACAGTCAATTACAATTACTTTTTTCAATTACCCCATCCCTGGCTCACTGAGGTACTTTCACTATTGCTCCTCTTCAAAAGGTTGTTTCTTAAAAAAAAAAAATTCTGTCTACATTTCCATGAAAAAATTGTGGGCCCATCCTAGCCCCAAGGGGTCATGACATAATCACACTTTAATCTACACTACACGGGGACTCTGAATATCAATACGACTACTGTGGCAAATATGAATCTGCACTTTAAAGGGATGGTTGTATATTAATGTGAGTATTTGTTGCATTGCTGTTTTGAAAAAGATTTTTACATATTATTTCCTATTTATTCCATGTAAATATTTGAACCCTTATCGCGGCCCCACCTAAACCATGGGTTTAGGTATAGCCGCGATAAGGGGTCATGCATGGTTTGAAACCATAAGGGGCCATGGTTTGAATATATTTCAATCGGTGCTATCTAAAGAGTGTTCAATCTAGACTCTAAAAAGGGCACAGTAATCCAAGAATCAGGCACTTTATGGTAAAAAGAAAAAGGAATAGGCATGTATTCTGTGCATGTCTAAAATTTTTAAGGTCTTGAGGTGGTTATTTATATTTTTGCCTGCAGTACTATGTTGTATAGAAAAGCACAACAAAAAAAGAGTTATTTTCAGAAGGGGGGGCACTTGGGAAAAAAAATATAAAGCATTTTTTTACTACGGAAAATAATCTATCGAGTGAAATCTCATCATATCAAAACATTATAGTTTAAAAATGTTGTAAAATTTATAGGGTCATGAGGTGATTATTTATTTTTGCCTGCTTGTATTGTGTAATTTACATGTATGTAAGCGAAAAAAATTAGTGGGCGGGCACTTAAAAAAAAAAAATTGTATGCAGCATTATTTTTGGGAAAACATCTATCCAGTGAAAAATCGTTGTATAAAAAAAATACAGTTTAAAAACTTCTTTTAGAAACATTGAACCCGCTGGTATCAACTTTAAAGTTTGAACACGGCATTATTAAATGTAACTGACTAAACACTTTGTTGTTCATGTTGTTTTGAAGCTCAATTCTCACCCAACTTTAAGTTTTAATACAATATGTAAGTTGACTAATTTTTTTTAAGGTAAAAATCAGCAGCCTTGTTTTCCACTTTCCCAAAACCACGATGTTTTTTCTACTTTGGGTTTTAAAAAACGACCCTAATTTTGATCATTATTTTCAATTTATTTAGATAATTTATGTTTGACATCTCTTACACTTTGTGCTCATTTACATTACTATAAATACTCTTGTCAGCTGTGTGCAACTTTTGAACCGGATAAAAGCAGACTTGAAACAATTCAAATAAAAAAAAATTTTTAAATGAATAGAGCAAAAAAATATTTTGAGTCGGGGAAATTTTTGTGGGTCGGTCGGCTGAGTGCAAACAAACAATATTTTAATTTAGGCCTTACCTACACAAAACAAGAGGCCCAAGGGCCTTGAATCGCTCTTCTGATAAACTGTACAACCTATCACTTCTATTTGAAGCCTCTGAGTATCCTGTATATTTAGATAAAGCCTTGACATTCCACAGGTAGGTCATCATGACCCAGGATGATTCTAAGCCAATTAGTACCTGAGAGTAGGTCATGGTGACCTACTTGTCACTTGTCATTCTCTGAGGACCCAAGATGCATCAACTAAGTTTGATAATTCTAAACCAATTAATATCTAAAATATTTTTAAAATTATAACCATAAAATTTCAAAAGTAGGTCACAGTGACCTACTTTTCAGATGACATACTATGAGGACCCAAGATGCATCAACTGACAAAGTTTGATGATTCTAAGCCAAAAAGTACCTGATATATTTAAATAAAGCCATAAATTTTCAAAAGTAGGTCATGGTGACCTACTTTTCAGTCGACTTACTCCAAAGACCTTAGATCCATCAACTGACAAAGTTTGATGATTCTAAGCCAAATAGTACCTGGAATATTTAATTATAGTCATCTAAATTGAAAAGTAGGTCAAGGTGACCTACTTTTCAGTCGACCTACTCCGAGGACCCAAGATGCAACAACAGACAAATTTTGATGATTCTAACCCAAATAGTACCCGATAATATTAAATACAGCCATAAAATTTCAAAAATAGGTCACAGTGACCTACTTTTCAGTTATTGTACTCCGAGGACCCGAAATGCATCAACTGACAAAGTTTGATGATTCTTAGCCAAATAGTACCCGAAATATTTAATTAAAGCCATAAATTTTCAAAAGTAGGTCATGGTGACCTACTTTTCAGTCGACCTACTCCAAAGACCCAAGATGCATCAACTGACAAAGTTTGATGATTCTAAGCCAATTAGTACCCAAAATATTTAATTATAGTCATATAAATTGAAAAGTAGGTCACAGTGACCTACTTTTCAGTTGATATTATTTGAGGACCTAAGATGCATCAACTTACTAAGTTTTATGATCATAGGCCTTAAAATGTCCAAATTATGCCTCTAGAACGCTTTGAAATTGAATGCCTGCAAAGTTCAAAAAGTAGGTCACTGTGACCTACTTTTTAATAAATATGTTTTATGGCCCCAAGATGTATCATCTTACAAGATTTAATGATTCTAAACCTCTCAGTATTTGAATTAATGACCTTAATTGTTTTGAAAAAGATTAGCCATAAAATTCAAAAAGTAGGTCAAGGTGACCTACTTTTAGTCGACATACGCCGAGGACCCAAGATGCATCAACTGACAAAGTTTGATGATCATAGGCCTTAAATTGTTCAAAATATGCCTCTAAATCATTTTGAAAAAGAATGGCCACAAAATTTGAAAAGTAGGTCACCATGACCTACTTTTGAGTCAACATGATATGAAGTCCTTAGAGGTATCAACTGACAAGATTTGATGATCCTAGTCCTTATAGTAAGCAAAATATCAACATTTTAATAAAATGTATTTTTTGGTCAACTTTGAAGTGACCTTGAGATCACACCCTTTGCCCCAGGGTGAAGCCTTGAAGAATTTTTAATCTTCAACATATCCTCATCCTTTTGTGTAAGTTTGGTGATAATCTGCCCAGTGGTTCTTGAGAAGAAGATTTTTTAGCAACCAGAACTTTTGTTTCTATTTTCCTAATTATCTCCCCTTATTTAAGGGTCACAACCTAGTTTTAGAATAAATGGGAGCCCTTGGGCCAAGAATACCTTGTGACAAATTTGACAATAATTGGCCAAGGGGTTCTTGAGTTATGGCCCATATCCTAAAAAAATTACACACACTGCACACCGCACAAATGGCCATAGCATTAGCTCTTTGGCTCAGAAGAGCTGAAAAACAAAAACATTCCTTGAACGTGCAATTATTAGACTTACAAATGAATAGCCTATTTCTTTGTGGGAAGCTATCAAGGGAACTCACCAGATTTACACTTTAAGTATATACTACATGTACTAACGAGTTTCTTGTGTGAAAAATATGGGTGACAATACAGATTGAACAAGGAAGTTTCTTTGAGATAGAGTAAGAACTGTATAATA